TTTTTTCATGGTAGTGTAATTATTCGTATGCATAGAAGGATCTGATACCTTATAAGTCCTCAGGAATAACATACCTTGAACAAACTTCAAAGTGGATGGATCAACCACAGAGTACTTTCTGACATCCTGTATCGAAATGAGGCTTCTCCGAACTTCAGAATTGCCGTCAGTTTTTGTCCGAAGACTGGACTTTTTTAATAGACCTCTCTTTGGAATCCCCTCCTCGGCCTGTGGGTGTGGGACACGTAAAAACTTCCTACTCTGATCGCTACTGCTAGGCTGTCCAGCGTACCGTGATAAATGCTCCTTCGGCATGGGTGACTGAGAGCTAGAACCTCTTTGGCGGTTATTTTGACGATAAAGAGGTTTCGCAGAAAGGTTACTGGCTCTCCGTTGGGGAGTAAGTGAATCTGCACGATCCTTTTTTGGTGATGATGAGGGCACTACTTGTGAGTAGGGCTTCGTGATAGCTGGAAATACGAAGCATTCTTCCTCCTCATCCATCATACGTGGACCGAGAGTCTCCCGGTGAATCCAAAGTATAAGTGCTGCCTGGGAACATTAAGAACCTAGCATCCCCAACCAGACATGTTGGCCAATCAGAAATCAGAATGTACTTAGAGGGTTGTTCGCCCCGATTGTTCAGTTATATCAGTGCTTTTACCTAACAGCCGCTCGTTTGTAGGCACGAAATTTCCTTTGGGGAAGGGTGGTATGGTAACCCCCTAGTAGATCTTCGAAACTACTAAATATCAGTTATTGATTGTGGTTTTTCTTAAAACACGTATTGTAAATATTGAACTTTTACGTGCGATTATTATCTATTTATTTGTGAAAAGGATGGCAAAAGTTAGCAAGGAACACCATTTGGGAAAATAGCACAGGTCAACCCCATTTGTATGTGACAGAACAATGACTAAAAGTAATTTAGCCAAGTACGTTTGCATATTTTTTATTAAATAAATATTTTACAAAAATTTTACGCTGTTGTTAATCATTTTCACTATTTTGAGCCTGTATTTTATTTAACTGTTTTGTTTAGCTGAACCACTTTCGATAGCGATCAATATCTTCAAGAGGGATTTTTTGGCTTTGGGCTTGGTGTATATACTGTACATAGCTGTGAGTGCTTTACTTTGTGTGTTAGTATAAAACTACGTCTTTGCCATTTATTGTTGTCAATGCACCCTTTTAGCCTTTTCCTGAAGGGCTTAAAAGCCTTTGTACATATCTTGTAATTACTCTGAAGTGGTACGTTTGTCAATGACTTCAAGTGAGGCGAAAGATCCGGCATCCGATTTGCCCGTCGACCAAATGATTATCAGCACCGCACCACCTGGTTTTCAAACCGATGTCAACAATTTCATGTCCAATCGAGCACGCGTTGAGACGTCTTTCCCCACGCAATGGGCTCCATCGATGGTAAGTCCGTATTATTTCATCGGGCCCAACTTTACGCTTTCCTCTGGATTTACTTTTTCCATACAATTGTGCAGGAAAGTCAAGTCGGAGCCCAGAATTCTGATCGTGGCACTCCTCATCTGCCGGATGGTTTTGACCTGACTGATGATGATGGTACTGATTTGACGGCCGGTGGAGCAGTTCGTGGTATCACTGATCATGGAGAGACGGAGACTGAAGCTAATGCTTCTTTGGCTAACCATTTTCAAGGTCTTTCTGTCTTCGATGCATCTCGGGCAAATCATATATGGGCTATCGGTGCAGAACGCAGAGGTCAGACGTCTGTGGATGATTTTAATACCAGTTCTGGAGACGTCACGGGTGTGGGCATTGGGAATATTAATTCTGCTACGCCTGTGTCAATTGGAGCTCTGACAACGTCACTTGGAGATGTGGATGGTGTTGGAAAAAGCAAGATGGCTTCTGCCTCTGCACCGGAGTCTATGCCTGGCATTGACATCCAGTCTATTTGGGAATCAAAGGGTTATAATCGACGTTTGTGGATAAATGATCGTCTGTTCGATTCAGAGGATCAACTGAAAAGGGACGCAAATGATGACAGCCAATCGCTGGATGAGGTTGCAGTTGCTGCAGCTAAACTTGATAATAATGGAGGCGCGTGGGAATGGGACGATTCACTGCTTGGTGTAAGCTGTGTTTGTACACTCATCGGTTTTAGAGTTCATCCTGGCGAGGTCTTTACGGCGGTAATGCAACGGAACCTAGGACGTTTAGTCAAGTTGCTGCAGGTGCGGTTCAGCAGCCTTTACCTCCGTCGGGTTTTCCCAGTCTATGGCAGTCGAAGCCGAATGCTGGCAACTTTTCTCTGGCTCCGCAGATGAACATAAGTGCCAGTTCAAATGAGGGCCCCGGTGACTTCTGTGTCAGCGAAAATGCCTTTACAACTGCTGGTAATCCACTACCTGGTGAAATTTGTGGAAGCGGCGTTGGCCTTTATGGCCACCTAGTGGGGAAGAAAGTTAGCGCCAATAGTGGAAGCAGTTTGTGCGGTATTCCTTCTGGCCACTCCTTTTTCCATTTCGATGGGAACAGTGGAAAGGTAGTTTTAGCGATTCTGCAGCCTCTGTTATCTTTAAACAGTTTATAGGCTTTCATTCCCTTTCTTCCAGCCTTCTTTCGGATGCAACAGTGGGTTACCTCCTCAGATGCCATCAGGAGTTCCGCCAGTTGCCAATCTCCCGGATAATGCATCACCCAGCATTCCTGTGGTCAGCTCTGGTAGTAACGAAGCAGCAGCGGAGGTTGCTTCTGCGGTTCCGCTAGCTGCGCAGCGTTCTGCTCCGTCCACGTCGATGCCTGTACCAATGCCCCCTCCTCAGTTTGATCCAATGTCGATGGCCATGGCCATGTCGATGTTCATGCAGCCTCATAATGCTCCTACTCCGCCGTCGCATTCCAATTCCAGTGTTTCTCCACCTTCGAGTGAGTTATGCCTCTGGTTGTTTCACGGGTTTTGATACAGGCGTCCGTTGGTTCCGTGTTTTTGCCCTCAAATCAACTTGCGTCATACCCATCAGTGCGACACCAACAGCTAGAGCGTTTGAGTTTTATGTTAGCATGCCGGCTCATCACCCAGCTGCCTCAATGTCAGACGTCGGTGTTCGCTGTCACGAGCCTCACACTTGTTCATCAAACATGAGCCGCCATCCGTCGATCAGCTTTTCGCATTTTTCTCTGTCTGGTATCTACAGACGGTCGGAGTGCCGCCCCTTAATGTCAATACGACTTTGACACGGAGGGGAGAAAATTGAAGCACCTCGTCTTTAATTATTCTTAATTTTGGAGTTTTGCTAAATCTTTTGTGTTGACGCACTGGCAGTTCTCGTTTTTCTTTTGTGGTTTGCTCGCTGTGGGCATCACTTGGCCGTATTGATTCGCTTTCCTATTATGATTGTAGGTACATGGAATCCCTTAGTCTTCAACATGTTCATGCAACAACTTGCTCAGAATCCAGCAACAGCAGCCTTGGCCGCATCAATTACTCCACCTCCTCTGCCTGCGCTTCCACTCCCACCACCTTCACAGGGAGTGCCAAACGCCGCATCGCAAGCGCAGTCCCAGACACAGCCAACACCTGATTTGACACCTGATCATGCCCGTCTTGTTGCCTACCTTATACTTCAAATGCAAAATCAGCTATTTTTCAATCAACAGCAACAACAACAGCCACAGCAGCCTAATTCGCCTAATCAGCAGCAGCACTTTGCTCTTCAGCCTTTCCAAGCGGCCACAGTTGCAGGAATGAGAGGGGCTGGTGGCGCTGGACAAGTGGGTGCCCCCCTTCCGCCACAACAGAGTGCAATTACTCCGTATGGTTTGCCGCAGGTTTGCATGTTTTGTCTGCTGTATTCTCTTGGAGCCATCCTTTAATTCTAGTGTAACTAATCTCGTCTTTGCTTACGCAGATAGGCATTTTGCCGCCTACGGCATCTCCACATCCAGGAGGGTCGGCACTGTTCCCACCGGGAGCAAACGTATCGGCAACCTCAGGAAGTCAGGCTGGCCCGTCAGCACCACCCCCTCCACCTCCACCAGGCTTTGCTCGTGTCGTTAATACTGCGAAAAACTTTACCCCTACCGCCTCCGGTTACTCAGCTATTGAGGGTAGGCTCTGTTCCTAAGCCGCTTTGAACCTGGGCTGCAATATTTTTTGGTTCACTCTAGTCCTTGTCCCATACATCGCACGAGCGCATATCATTATGATGACCCGATTCCAGTTCATCGGTAGCATTGATTTATATTCAATCTAAGTGATAATCAGGTGATGGTTCTCGACTTATGGGAATAACTTATGAAATATTCAGGCAAAGCAATCTTCCAGCTCCATTGTTTTTATGGATGCTACGGTTTTCATTTTCTGATTGTATTTTTTAGAATTTTACTTTGTATTGAGTCAACGATTGAAGAATTATTTTAGGTGGTCCTTCTCCAGTAGCTAACACCGCTGGGGTTACTGTTAGCAGAAGCCAGTTGCTGGAAGAATTTCGAAATTCGACTGCTCGTTTCCAGCACATCCAACTCTCTGAGCTTCGTGATCACATTGTTGAGTTCGCTCGTGATCAGCACGGATCACGATTTATTCAGCAGAAGTTGGAAACAGCTACTGTTGACGAAAAAAATATTGTCTTTTCCGAAATTCTCCCTCAAGCGGGCAAGCTGATGGTCGACGTTTTCGGAAACTATGTCATACAGAAGTTCTTTGAATTTGGAACTGATAATCAAAAGGAGGTAAGATGTTTAGGTGGTTCTTAATTTCATTCTTGGTTCATTCAGCTTCTTTCTCAGTGCCTACACGGCCACGTTGTGGAGTTTGCGGTACAAATGTATGGCTGTCGAGTTATTCAGAAGGCTCTTGAATCGGTTCCACTAGAGTCCAAAATCCGTATCATTAGCGAACTTCGTCCTCATGTGATGCGTTGTGTGAAGGATCAGAACGGCAACCATGTGATTCAAAAATGCATCGAATGTGTTCCCTCGGCTGAGCTGGATTTCATCATAACTACGTTCCGCAGTCAGGTAGGCGTGCTTCTCCCGCCCCCACCTTTTCTCCGAAGGAAGTATTTTATTCCCCAGCTTTTTCTGTTCCGCTGTATGATACTACATACGTATGGACACAAGGCCTTTGTGCTTTCTCATTTTGCTAAGTGCTTGCCGCCATTTAGATAAGATTTTCATTCTACAATGGTGACTTCTGGTTTGGCAATTGCTGGCAATGGATTCGTACTTGTTGCGTGTACATATACTGTTAGTTCCGTGTCGTCACCGTGGTTTATCACTTCGCAGTTTGATTGGCCTACTTCGCAAGGGCACCTAGGTTTACGCACATCCATTTGCGCTGACAAGTGCCATTGCCACGTACACATGTGCATTTAGTGTCAGCCTGTGTGAAGTCTTGTGAGTGCTGCGGGTATTCGCCATCCAACTTCTGCAACTTATTGCATTTACTAATTATTGGCTATGCTAATGTTGGCTTAAGTTACTTTTCTTGTCCTCGTTAAATAGCTGCTAATCCACCTCTACGTGCTTAGGATTGCTTATTAAATTCGAGCATCTATTTAACGTATTGGAGAATAAACGAGGCTTAAATACCGTTGATTAAACGGTCTAATTGTGGTTTCAAAGACTCATGCTTGCGTTTTAATTACGAATGTTGTTTGTACTTGAAGCTGACGACTTCGTAATGCAAATTGGGTGCACATCTACAATTATTTCGTCCTACAATTCTGCTTGTGTTTGCCTCGATCACTGTGTATGTAGTAGTTTTCATCCTGCATTTTCACTTCATAAATTTTCTCACCACGGTTGCATACCAGTTGCAAAGTTACGTTTATTACCGCTAGGACTAACGCTACTACTAACCCCTCCATATTTCTTGAATCGGCTTTTTTCAATATTCACTAGCTGTGGTGGTTGGTCCATTAATTTCGGCCTGCATACAACGGTCTCCATTATGCCTTCTACGGTCCATTGGTTGACTACTTCCACAAATTAAACTGATTTTGTGTTCAGGAATTTTTGTCAACTCTTTTCTTTGTTTTCGGTGAGACGTTTCCATTAGGGTCCTCCGTGCGTTTTTCGACCTTTGGACGGCTTCCACTGTGATTTGCGCAATTGTTTTATTCCGATGCCTATCTCTATGAGTTAATTTGACGCGCGGTCGCGTGAGAATCAATGCTTTCGTCTGATGAAGATTCATCAGCTGCAGCAATCCTGATTTTTGAATAACTCGTATCACTCAGGTTTCATTCTTTTTCACGAATTTCATTCCCAGGTTTATACTTTGTCGTCACATCCCTATGGTTGTCGAGTTATCCAACGCATTCTGGAGCACTGCTCAACTGAACAAACTCGAGTAATTCTGGATGAGCTACATCAGAGTGTCGATAACTTGGTCAACGACCAGTATGGCAATTATGTGGTACAGGTGAGTGTATTTTTTATCGAAATTATATCTTATGCCATCAACGCTGTTGATTCTACTCTGCATTAAGCACGAGCTTTAGTGAAGTTTTCTTTTGTTCTTATTTCTTGTTAAGTGCCAAGCGTGTTTTTATAGCATGTTCTGGAGCACGGTTCGCAGGATGATAAGTCCCGTATAATCAACAGTTTGCGTGGTCGCGTAGCCACCCTCTCGGAGCACAAATTTGCATCAAACGTTATGGAGAAGGCAATCGCCAACGCTACGCCTGCTGAGCGCTCGGCCCTCATAAACGAGGTGCTGTTGTCTGCAGATGGCACGGATAGCGGGTCTGGAGGTGTCTTAGTCGATATGATGAAGGACCAATTCGCTAACTACGTAGTTCAGCGCATGCTTGAGCTGGCCGATAAGCAGCAGCGAAACAGTCTTATAACTCGTATTCGCCCCCTTGTTGGCACGCTGCGCAAGTACAACTACGGAAAGCACATTATTACAAAACTCGAGAAGTATGGAGCAGGTGGTAGTAACTGTAGTTCAAGTGGGAGTGGCAAAGTCGGCCTCATCTCTCCTGCTGGCGCGTCGAACGACCACCTAAAATCGGTGTAGAACTTCCCCATCACTCACTGTTTAAAAAACCTGAATGGAGTTGTTCATATTGTTTCTTACGTCTGGTGTGTAGGTGCGTTTTGTATATTTGAGCCGGCGTCGTCTCAATATCTCGCCATTACCACACAGACTAGTATATACATATTGTAAAGTTTACCATGAGCATGTTAAGTAAACCTTATTATTCTGTATAGCCTGTGCGTGTCCTCACTATCAACACTATATGACTTTATTCAGCCATCTTCATTCTCCGAACACTTTTGTTGCCCTGAGTTCCGTTGATTTCTTTTCCTCTTTTCTCGCATGCACATACGTCTCGTTACCCCCTGTTTATTCCACCATCCCTTACTCATTCACCTGCCGCCGTTTGTAAAGTACTGCCTAATGCTCGGGTTCTATGTGCTCTGATCTCTCCTCTGCAAATTCAACAAAACATCGCGAAGACTTGGGCCGACTGTCTGGTCTATGTGAATCCTACGCCGCACTCTCTCCTTTTCACCGGATGAGGTTGCGAATGGGCTTGGATGTAGTGTACATTTTCATTTGAATGTAGATATGAAGCGAAGTCTCTCTTTGCTTCTTTACCCCCACTATCTCAATATATAAGTGGTCCATTAGGTGAGTTGACTTTTCCCCTTCACTGGCAGTGCCTTTGCCGTGGGATGATTTCCGAGTAGCTTGAGTGGTAGGTCCTGAGACGGTGTTTAAAGATTTGGCAAAGCAGGAGGTTGTATGCCTTGGCTCCTGATGGCTGGTTACGGGATTTGCTTTGTTTCTCCTACTGCGTATTTCTCCAACGCGGTTTTTTGAAGCCATGTGAGGTACCCCACGCCAACGAGGTGTTGTGTCACTTGCACGGTGCCATTTAGTGGGGTTGAATACCTTCGGTTGTATCTTTCGTCTAATTGTCTTTCTTTTGGCATTGGCTAACGTAGGATGAGATGACTGGCTGTAATCTCGGTGAGTGCTAACTCACCTCGATCCTAGCAAGCGTTCTTGCTCTTCAGTTCGCCTTTTATGGTCAGTTGCAGGGTCACGTGGGCTTTGCAATCGCACACAACTCTTCACTGCCATGCACATGCTTGTATGCGCGATTGCGCTAGCATTGTGGTCTCTGATATGCTAGTATGCACAAGTTCGGATCGTCTCACGAGTTTGCTTGGCTTGCAAGTTGCACGTGTACGGATTTTCGATCTTGGTAGCCGAAGATACGATGCCTAACCGCACGCGGTGTGTGTGTGTGTGGGACTCTGCATCGAATTGCTCGTGTTGTGAGTTTCAAAAATCAGCGGTGTGGCCTACAAGGCTTTTGCAAATTTCGCTAGCAAGGGCTATGTGTGGAGGCTTGCTGATACGTTAGGACATGATGCCAAGATCATCGAAGCTACTCGGAATAGAGATCAGAAGGGGAGGTGGACTATCATCAATCTTTCCACTTTTCCACTGTCCTCATCGACCTTTGGCAAGGTTGTTAACGAGACGTGTTTTTAGCAATAATTTACCCTGAGTGAGATAAACACGGCTGGCTAGTTTTGTTTTGCCAGTGGGTGGATTATGTTAATGCTTTGGTCCCATCGTCGCATTAACAGCAGGATTCATTGTGTTCTATTCTATGTGATGTGGTTATAAACACTTGTGGACATGGTGAATACGGCGGTTCTGTTAAACCGCATCACTCGCTGAAAACGGTGTTGGCCCAGTTGTGTGAGCAAGTGAACAGGGGCTGCCGTATGAAACCTGTCGAATTCTACTTCATCCGTGGTTATCGTTACCACCTTTAAGCTTAAGTGGCTTTTGCAACTATTTTCTTTTGGCTAGAAAAGTGCTCCGTGTTGATGAACTTTGCTGCTCGAGAGGGGATTATGGATGCATACGGGTGCAGTTGCGTCTTGCCCCACTTCCACTGCACCTCTGTGAATTTTTACTCACACCATGGAAATGTTTGTACCTATTTTGCATGCATTTACTGGCAATATAAGGTCATGGATTTTATTTGCAACACTATTTCACTCATTCGATCTAGAAGTTGTCACATCTGCTCCACAAGTACGGGAATTGTGCTAATACTGATCGGTCCCTTTTTGTGAGGGCTGAAATGAGCAAGGCGAGGCATGACTCAGTCTTCGAACGCGTTCAGCTTTACACAGTTGGAACATTGTCAAATGGGTGGAAGTAAGAGCACAAGAGAAGTCACGTGTTTTGTGATGGTGCCTAGCTCTCTTGGCTAAGCCTGAGGACTGCGTTTTGCATTGCTATGCCCATTCGCCACAGGCTACATCATTAAGCGCTGAGCTAATGCAAGATATTTTATCCGTAAAAGTTCATTCCAGTGCTACGGTCCAGTGTCAGGGCTCAGAGCTGAGGGCGGGACGTGCTAAAACATGCTAATTATAATCTTCAGAATGTTTCCCTTCTACCAAGTGAATGAGGCCAGAGAGTCAAGGTAAACAGTAGTGTTATAGTGATGAAAGCATGTTTTGGGGGCAAAACCACTACTCAGTGGCTAATAGCTGGAAGACTTTTAAATGCTAATGTCTACATCACACACCTGTTATGCGTGCTATAATTTTGGGCGCGAATTGGCTTCACATCGCCTGAAGGTGAGATGATTGTCACACCGATGGGAGTAAACGAAGTTTCGGTGGTTGTTTCTCGCTCTGATCTGATCAGTTGACCCAAACATTAACCTAAAGCGCATTAGAGATTTGCACATTCCAACCCAGTCCCGTGGATAGTTTTTTTTAATTCATTGTGATGGCTCTCACATTTGTGTAGCATAGTGGGATTGTGCTCAAAACTGAGCCGTCTCGAAAAGTCGATTTTTAACACTGCTTTGTGGAGAAACACGAATTGTTTCGTCCTCTTGTAAAATATGATGGCATAAACTTTTGCAATTGCGTAATTTTTGTCTCGGCAGTCCCTCCATAGGGATGATAGACTTCAAACCTGTGAAATCACCAGTAAAAGACAAAGTAGCGGTAGTACCGCTAACCTGCATAAAGTAGATTTAGACGGCTTTTAGAAACTCGCATTCCTTTGGTTTAAAAATTGGTAATTTATTAAAAATGTGCTCGACTTTGTGTTGGATCCAATGAAGATCATAAAATGCAAAAGGGTTGAGAAGTGTCTACCTCTCCTTCTCTTTTATTTCAAACCCATAGTGATTGTACGAATCACCGCCTCCTTATTACAGTCGACAAGTCAAACCGGAGCCACGTGAAATTGTGTGGAGTTCGCAACGCAACGCAACGCAACGCACTCATCAATGTCAATGACCATTCACATCGAAAGCCTAAGGGTAGACCCTTTGCTAATATCGCATTAGCAACTGCGTTACAAAGTACAGCGCATCTGTATGGTCGAAGATGTAAAGTTGTCTGTTAATTGTTTTCCTTGTGGGGAGCAGACGTATGCCAAAGCGAATGTGTTAGGTGGGTGCATTGTTTGTCTGTATAAATGGGAAGAGAACTGCATAACTGACAAGATTTTATATAACGAAACGATAAAAGGAGTGTGAAACGCCAGCTGTTGTATGCGACGCTCACCAGACCAGAAATTGCAGTCTTTCTGTCAGTCTGGCCTCGTCGCAAGGCATGCGGGAGGGTGTGCATGTGCACCAGCGTTCTGTGACCGCACAAACCACTTCACCTCAAATCAGAACGTTTTCTCCATTGTTGGGAGTTTTCTTCCACCTCCATATGGGCACACAGTCTCATCATATTAACTTACTTGTGGAAAAGTTCAGACTACAACTTTATTGAGTTTTTAAGAGATGATGAGTTATTTGAGTTATGCATTGGGGCATTTGAGTTCTGCTGAACGCAAAAAAGCATTTCACTCTCTCTCATCGACACTATTTTCTGTGATGCCTATGTGAGCCAGAGTTATTATTTCTTGAGACCTCTTTACGGAAGGACTTGAGAATCGAGTAAGTGCTGGTGTTGGCATCACACAGGTGGTGAGCTAGTTTGGCCAGTTGAATTACTGGATTACTGCCACCTCGGCACAGTCCGGGTGGCTCAAGACGTCACCTCATCTCGTCTCTCCTCTCCTTCGTAAAGATGATGTTCGATCAAAATGCTTGAGGCGAGGTAATTTCGCATAATCAAATATCCAAAACTCGCTGAAGGGCATAAGTGCACAGATCACGATGATACTGCCAACCTGTGAGCAATTTGTAGATAATTATTTGAAGCTGGTTCCTTTAAAGTTGGTAATGTTCATGGCACCACAAAATGCTCCAAGCAAAACGTTTCTCTTATTCATCATTCTCCTTGAATCCGTTTTTGCTGGCCAGAAACTGCAGGAAGGGTTACTTTTGGTTACACCCGTTCTTAATTTTTATGATAGAATTTTAATGCATTTGCATGAGTGCATCAACGCTAACCGCTAGACCATCACTTGGCTCAGAAAAACGACTGATGCTATGGTTCCCTTCACTCCACAATGCATTCAAAGGGTGTTTACCCTGCCTTTTAGCAATGGAGATGCATTGGCAGCGGTCTACTTCGTGCAAGGATTTACGTGTGATTAGAGTGCTTGAGAATGAAAACTTATTGTAAAACGCCTTTACAGGCAGGTTGATGCATCATTGAGCTGATGCGCTGCATTTCAACCGAGTAGCAAGTGCTGTATGTTGCAGAAAGGTCATAAAAATGCCATCAGATGTGTGAAATGGATGTGCTAGTTTATCCATCGCTGTAGTAGACAGATAAATTTATTATTTAAAATTATTTTCCCATTAAACCTGATGTTGAAGTCCTTTTGTTTCTTTTCTGGTGGCACTAATCAAGCCGCATGCCAAATTTTAAGCAGCAGTCTTCTATTCCACGCAGACACTTGTCTTCGTCGACTCAGCAGTAAATACGCTAAGGTATCCGCCCAGCTCCAGCGAGTTACCAAAATTCACAACAGGTTTTGCGAGAAAGCGCAAAAAACTGTAGCCGCACATATCAATTTCAATTGAGGTGCTTTTCATTTCGACAAATGCCCTGATTTAGTCAGTCATGCTTACTGACCTAACTAAGAAAAGCGACATCTTAGAATTGCATTATTCCGTTGCAATTTATGTCTTATCAGATTTCGCTGATATCAGCACGTCGCGTCAAACACATTTGCGAGTGCAGTCGGTAATGAACGAATAAGAAGTATAAGGGGGACAAAAATTAACAGTCGGTGGGCGAATAATCAACCCCAAATGCTTTTATGGCCAATTCCAATCTAAATTTATACAAAGCCACTACCGCAAAACTGCAGATGCATGTGCGAGCGCAATTGGCTTCCTTCTGATGTCTGCTTATGTTCAAGCGACATTGAAGAGGATTCCAAAAACTAGCAATCGCTTTCCATTATTGCAGAAACTGTTCCAACGCTTACTTTGTTGCCGTTTTTGACCAAGTAAGGCAGTGCGGTCTGTTGGTGGAGTTCGTATTATCACAGATTTTGTGAGGTTACGCGTGGCACCTAAGTCTACATTTGTGCATGTATCGACTGTGCCAAATCAGCGTGGGACATTTGAGAGTCGGTTCTCGCCCATTTAATGCGTACCTGCGATCGCTTTCAGCCTTCAATACAATAAATCCCCGCACTATCGAATCGAACGATTTCAATACCACTGAGTTTAAAAGTCGCAATTTTTTTGCCTAAAAACTGTTGTAAGTGCATTTTGTTGCTCAAAACTCAAATAACCTTCTTTGAAGCGTCTAGGTATCAAAAGAGGAAGACCACTTAGCACGTGTGTAAAGTCAGGTTCAGGTAAAAGTCTCCACGTTCCATCAATACCACGCTGAACAAAAACATCTCACTCTTGCGTATGCACTTAGCTGTTGCTATTGCCAAAGTCGGTGGTAATTAGTTTTTTTCGTCAGAGAAAAGACTTCCAACAATTGTAAGTGAGAACAAATGAGTGTACGGCGACTGACAGGCTTAAACACATTAGGAGGAGCGAGTAGCAGGATGACGAGCTTTCCCGGAGGAAAAGATCTTTGTAAGCAAAGTGGAAATCGTGCAAATTCAGATGATTATGTGTCATGCAAAGAGGCGAACAGGAGGAGAGGAGAACAAACAAATCGCTGATTTCAATCGCATTCTTTGCTCCTTTGCTTCTTGAAGACAAAAAATAGGATTTGACTTCCTGAAGCCTCAACGCTTACCCTTCCCTTATCCAAAGAAGTAACATTTTTCAAAAAACATCGCATATCAATTTGTCAATTGTCTTCTCAAGGATCACAAATGACCCAAATGATCATGGAACCTAGGCTTTTGATAGCTGATCTGTGGAGAGCATGAACTTTACTTTAACTTCAACTGTTCACAGGTTATAGACGCACCGCTGAAAAACTGGCATGGGAATGCACGCACACAACTGGTCAATAGACAGTGCCTGATTGGTATCCTCGCGTTACATACGCATACGCAGGCAAAGGTCAGTGCAAGGTGAACAATGTCTACGACAATCTCATCCCACCACCACCACCACCACCACCACCATCACCACCACCACCACCAGCATCATCGTCATACGTATCATTATTGCTGTTATTTTACAACCGATTCATGGGCCTTTAGACCTGATTGTAATGCCATGCTCCATGGCGCCAAATACCGAAAAATTGCGAATTCTCACCTTCCCGACTGGTGCTAGTTTCGTATAATGGAATCCAAAAGGTAACATTTAACGAGTTCAAACTGATACTTGTTTGCCTAAATGGAGGTGTAACTAAGTGAGCGCGCAAAACTGATCCATTTGACAGCCATGTTGAAGGGCGAAGGCAACTAGCCTCACGCCTTTATGCCGAAAACATTTATCACAACCAGGAGCCCTACGACGTAGAATTGTAACGTTAATGAACCCTCGCTGAAAGAGCCTCCGACTTAGCTCTCTAGCTTGATTTAAGTTTACGATCACTTCCATCTTTTTGACTCGAAGGCTCGTTTAAGTGCAAAATGCAATTCAATCGTCCAATCGTCGAAAGTGTGGTGACCAAATTGCAGCACTTTTTTATTCAACTGGCTAAATAAATGACAGCCTATCCGACGACCATCCTGCTTCCGCCGAGTGAGCTAACCCTCAGGCAACACCAAAATTTTCAGTCGTCTTATACCTTCGAACCACGATGGAACGTCTCGAGAGGCTACGCAAAGCATGGGAAAAGCATGGCGAAATCTGCATTAAAATCATCTCGCTTTAAGGATCGCTTTCACACACGGCGACCTGACTTGCCCTAAGGGGCCTGGTTCATTCACATGAGTGCTGAAAGCCGTCCAAAAACATTTTCGTCCTATGAATAAAGCTCTGTCCACCCACAAGCCCTAAAACGCACCACATCTGTCCCCAAGTAATGTTAAACTGCTGAAAATTTAATTACCATAGTAACACAAGATAGTATTTGTTTATAATCTTATATGCATACAAGAGCACGGGAGCGCGCTAACCATCGCAAGTTTCAGTTGATTATCAAAGCTTTTGTGACCGAGATAGTCATTCTATGAAGGCAGACTAATGGGCTTTATTATCGCAGCAAACTGTTTTGCTAAAATAGTTCTAAGTAAAAATACATTTCCATAAATGGAGACTAGGAGGAAGGATGGGCACTGTTAGCAACCTCAAAAGCTCAGAGTTTGAGGGATGGTTTTTTGGTGAGCAAGTGACCGCGAAGCTTGAAGATTTCACCGAGCCGGCCAATCAGCCTAGCACGTGATTGACCACGCCAGTGACAGTCTCGTAATTGGTCAATGCGGCGGCGGAGATGAGCGTAGTAATTGTGCGCAGTCTGTGAGTCACCAAAGCGCAACCAGAACACGTCGGGGTGTGTCACTTCGAACTGAACATACAAACATCATTGATAGACCATCGAAACGTAACGAGGGAGAAAGCATCAAGATAGGCACTTGGAACTGGAAGCATAGATTGCAACTTCAGATCACATTTCAAGCAGCAATTAGTTTTAATCCACTTCTGCTAATGCTGCATACTCTAGTACGCAGTTATTTATGACTAGTGACTCCTATTTATTTAACGCTCCTTATAGAGAATAGGTGATCAAAGACGTGTCGAGCCTACTAGATGGACACACATAAATACAGCCGTTTCAAAAAAGATGTCACGAATTGCATTTTCAGCTAATTTGCACACTCCAAAGGTGCCTCCGAGTTCCATACACACTACACCCGTTTTGCATGAGGTCACAGTAACATTGTCTCAATTCGTACCACAAACAAGCCTCCTGACCTTGAAACGCTGAAGCAGAAGTAGAACGCTCCTCATTAGGTGAATACTGAAATGTTTTAACTCGTAAACCCCAATCGTATTTGTCACTAGAAATTAATGGCAGTTTTCATATTCATCTGAAACTGCAGTTCCACAATACTTCAACGAATTTTAGGGCTGAAATTCAAACACCATTGAATGTTAAGAAACCTAACCCAAAGGTTTGCGCCATAGTCCTAAGCTTTAATTCCCACCTAATCCACAGACTCGCACAATAAAAGGAAGACAGATGGACCAACAACTCGCCCCCTCCATTGGCTAGCATTATTCCATAGGTCGCGGAGACACAAATTACCTAGGCTTTGTTGAGTTATGGCTACTCAGCCCCACACTGGTGGCAGACAAGTTCACATATTCCTCCGGTATTTTGAAAAGTGCCCCTCGGAAAAGCCGCAAACCCTCATTCACCAAGTGCGTACCAAGTTCGCCGATCACTATAGTAATAATGGCAAACCTGAGGACAGGAGTAGTAGGTGAGATATGCGTTGATTTGGCAATCATCAGAGCACGCTCACGCCACCGTACATACGTGTTAGGTCTGTGAACTCATGTCAGATATGATCTTGAAGTATCCAAACTGAGCTCAACATATGCGCACATACCTGCTTGATGTAGCGCATCTTGGTTTTAGGATCCATGCTCTTATTGTCAATGAAGTAGTTCAGCGCAAGAATGAGATGTCGCATGTTCCCCAAAGCAAGGACTTGTTCCAGACCAAGCGGTTTCTGAAAAGGACGAGATATTTGTAAGTCTGTCAGATGGTACGCAAATTCTGCGCGTAGGGAAATAAACGCATGAGGCCGTATGTAAAACAAAACAGCTTGGCAGAAGTTAAGAAAAAGCACAAAGCCCTTCTTTTACTCCCAGACAGAATAAAGCGAATCGGTTTACTTGGGAATGGAAAACAGCGCGAAAAGACGAATAAAAGATAGAGGAGGCTAACTCAAGGGCATTTCGGACTACACTCCTGTGCTGAGAATAATTCAAACACTTCTACTTCTTTTACAATGGATTGCTAGTCCAGAAGCAAAAGGCCTAGTTGTAAGTTGTCTCCACGAGTCCTCCCAGAGCAAGGACAGGATCAAGCTTCTTGAGGAAGGCAAAAATTTCGTGAAGGACTCAGGCTTGCAAGCTAAAAATTAGTAGGATACAATTGTCTCCATTTCACTATTGCAAACAAGTAGATGAAAAGACAAGAAATGGTGGTGTTGGGATATAAAAAAAATTATGCAAGACACTCGGTTAGGTTACATGATTTTCGTGATTTTTAGTTTCATTTTGCTTAATGTTGTGTGATTGTTGATAATCTTCAAGAGATGGATGAAATTGTGCTCTGATGGAAATTGAACGCTTTGGAGCACAGAAAACCGCACCATTAATTTCATACCATGTCTGTCAATAAAATGTGTTTTTTATACTTAGATTCAAAAGATAGAATGACAATGGACGATTTTGCACGTTGTTCAACTATGAAATATACGGTTTATAAAGCTTGAAAAAGTGCAATTTTGAAAAATTCGAAACGATAAAAAGTGATTCGCCTTGAGGCATGAAAGAGATTTGTCCCGATGAAAAGTGCCATTGAGTGATGTACTAGACGTTGGATAGAAGCAGCTTTAATTTGAGAATCTAAAACTTATTAGAATCTTGAAAGATAAAGAACAAAAGAATGAGAGGCGGTTTCAACTCGGTGCGTGTAACTTGGCAAGACCTGAGCGTGACTTAGTGCATTGAACTTCAGTTGCGATGTCAACTAGGAACGGGAGACAAGGAAGAGAGCAAAGGTAAGCCAAGAAGTAATTTCTCACTGTACGCTGATTCCATAAGGGTTCCATACCAGTTATCAAGGAGGCGGCATTTGGATCCACAGGATAACTAACTTGACTAAATTGTTAACTCACGATACCAGCAGCTGCACCAACGACACTCTTTCCTTGTGGTTGGCACTCACCGTAGAGGCAGTCGGGGGACTGGAAGCGCTACCAAAGCTGGGGCGTCGATCCACCACTTTCACTAGGCCAGACGGTGAACGATATAGCTCAAAATCCTCCAGGAAACAATCGTCCCACTGCAGAGAGGAAGGCAAAAGCACATGCATACCAAACAATACATCGAGACACACATTGTTCACCTTCAAAGTGCGAATATAAAATACTCGAATGAGTGTCCGCACTCAGCCACTAAAACAATATTTGAGCCTAAGCGTTCATTATGCAGGCGTAAGGCGTAAGTAAATAAAATGATTACAAACAATAGGTCAGTAGGGAAAAGGAACTACCTCTCGGAGCCCTAGATCCAGGTAGGACGGCGGTTTAAGTAGCTGGAGAGCTTGGGGAAAGGAGAGGATGTACTCCAGCAGATTGTGACCTGAAGACTTGGAGGCATTGGTTGAGAAGCCAAAAAATCTAGGCGCGAACCACTTGGCTAACTAGGAAGTTGAGAATAGGAATGAGGAAATTATTACCACCTGTAAAATTTAATGCTAACAAAAATTGACGAAGTTTCCCAGTTGCAACCTACTGCACTCCTTACTACCAAAGCTTCAGATAAATCACAATGGGTAAAACTATGCTTAGTGAAAACGCAGAACTCAGGCGCGTAGCCATGAAAGACCGATTTGAGTGACAAAACAATAAGTGATTGGAGATAATCGAATTAGAACTGCAATTCCCAAGTACTGTTCACAGTACAACGTCCCGTACAGTAGTGTGGATAAATATTGAAAATGTAGACCAAGACTAACTGTACAGAGATGCTGCAAAAACACCTGTAGCCAGAAAAGTGACTGAGATGATTGGGACTACAAGTGCTCACAACCAAAGTCGATATCATATGATCACTTAAGCAAAAAAGCATTTAATAAAACTATTAACCATTCGCTTTACTGAATTAACGAATTCGAATGACACAATATGTACTGATGCACCACAACTTACTCCTTGAAGAAAGGTAATTAACACGAAAGCATAAGACTAAAAATTCAACGCAATAGAAAAACGGTTCGTTGATCAATGACTCCTACGGTGTCAGGTTGTACATAATGTAACGTCTTCTCAGGTCTGATGTGGCGAGCCGCGTTGGCTGTAACCTTCTGCGCTTGCTCCACGAATAGTTGAATTTGGAAGCGCAGTTCAGAGGGGAGAAGGAGAAGAGCCAGCTGAATAGCCATTGCGGTGGCAGCGCCGTTGAAATAGCCGCAAAGCATCGATGGCGGGAGAATTTGCGTGGGGGTGCCACTAGAGCTGAATACACCGGTTTCTACTTATTTTGTTAAAGTAGAAACGGGAAAATTAATACAAATATAACTCACGAGCCTCGAAAGACGTCCGGTATCTGTAACAGAATACCACGTAAAGGTACTAAGTCACGGCTTTTTGAGTTGAACGATACTTTCGCTACGGTAGACTCAGCGAATGAGTAATCAGAAATGTGTTTTCGTAGAATTTCACATCCAAAAATTCTGATTCAAATTAGTGCAACACTTTCTTTAGTTTCCAATCAAGACTAAAAGCTAGAAAGCTTTGTGAAAAGTAGGAGCTGCCAAAATCATCGATAACGATAATCGGTAAATCACAATCAAGGAGTGTTTATGGAATTCAAACATTCTAAACCGCTATCCTGAATGACAGTGAGGCGGCCACAGTAGTTGCTGTAGTTTCAGAAATAACGATGGGCGTGGACATGTACGGCTTCATTAAGCTTATCAATGTTGGAATCTAACGTAGTATTTTGTTGCAAATTTTGTAAGTTTTGTTTACTAGTTACCAACCGCATCAATGATACATACCCCAGAGATGTTCGATGGGGACTGCTCAAGTACAGATGACAGATGACAGTTTCCTGAAAACCACCAAAAAATTAAACCGCACAAAACAACGAAGAAGCCTCTAAGGAATGCGTACACTCACCAGCGAGTGGCGAGTCACAAGGAATCGCAGTGATATTCAAATACGATTCATCAATGAAGGGGATCGTGGTGTCAACTGGTGCGAATTGGTCGCGCTCTGAACCAGCATGTTCATTTACCGCATTGGGGTCCTTTGGTAAACGAGAGGCGGCGAGATGCGCAGGACAAGAGTGATTGAATCCGCACAGAATGAGCTCCACCAAACGCATAAAATGAAGAGTTTTACCGGACTGCTGTGATTGCAGAATGAAAAACCCGGTCGAGGCGGTGGTAAGGAAGTCGACCATGAGAGCACCCGACTCCTCCAGCAGTTGCACACGATTGGCCTTCGTAGGCCCTGTATAAAACGGAGAAAATGGTAAAAGAAGGGTCTTAACGAAAAAGAAGAGGACATACAGTCAGCGAGAGCACGCAGATAGGCCAGAGCTGAGGATTTCACTACACGGCCAACAGGAATGCCCTCAACAAAACCGTTTGCGTCTGTTCGAATGATATTACCGTGGATCATTCGACCCCACTCCACTAGCCACTCACAACGCAGACTTGACTGTAACATCCCAAACGAGGACGACGATAAAGGCAAGAGAGCAGTAAGAAGTTCGTTCAAAGTGATGCTAAGGAGACGTGCGATGCGTGAGAGAACGGCGAGTGCAATACTTCTGGCAGTCTTGACATTCAATGGCTCGGCTCCCTCTATCACTCTTTCCGCATTGGAGGTGGGGCTGATACTGCTTACACCGCACTTGTAACCAGTGTCACTGAGATCATGCGCAGTGTTGAACATGTAGAGGGAATTCAAGGATTCAGTGCTAGAGAGGGTCGGTGAGCTCAATGTTGGAGAGGAGGTTTCATATGGATCCAGAAAAGCGCGGTTCACTTCATACATGGCGTCTTATGAGGAATAAAACACAGAGCACCTATAGTTGGTAACGTATAAGCATCAAAAAATAAGAGCATTAAAGTGGCAAATGCACACACGTACCGGAGCCCGTTGAAAGGGAACTCCCAATTTAATCTTTCAAGTATTTGCTTAGTGGTAGGTTACAAATGTGGCGACAATGAGGCGCCACACATACATACAATTGAAAGTAGAAAAACGTCACGCCTAATTTACTATCGTCTAGCAGGCAGAACTCAACAACCGCGATAATGAATGCGAACCATACAACTTGGTGTGCAGAATAGGATGGGTAATCAAAACGAGAATAGAGTGGATAGACCGAGCGTTCGATCCCCGATGACTTCACAGTGAAACGACTTGACATCTACACCACCACACTAACCTGTTTTAGTAGCTCTGTGAAACCCAGCAACGACGTACAACAGGAACTTTGCCGCACAAACGCAAGTTAAGTGTGCACCAGTACGATTAGAAGTTCCTACACTTTCAGTAATAACTTACAGAGTAAGGCGTGTTTATGAAAATCACGATCAAGCTTTTGCAATATAAAGGTGTCCAAGTTTCAAATTATGAAAAGGGCCGTTATGGCAATAAAACAGCATGCAAAGGTGGCAAAGCGCATTGATAAAGCAAGCGAAGTCTCAGAGCAGTAAACTTTTAGGGATTTACTGATGTACTATTGCATAAACTAAGAGACGATAACGACCATGATTCTCCATTGTGGTGGTCGGAAGAGCAGGACCAACCTATCTAGATGAGAATACAGAAGCCAGACTTCCTGATGTAGAGGACACGCGTTTTATGGACATTTTAACTGCATACACATACAGATACGCACAACGCAACAGGCGTGCAAACACCAACCCAGCCAAGCATACCCAGGGACATGTCAAATTTGTGAAATCGCCAAAGCACTGACATACGATTACAGGTGCATTCAAACTATTATTGGTTAACATAAACAATCAACAATGCGTAACGATGGCTTAAATAGGACTTTAGCCAGTAACGTTATAATTATTAGCAATCTTTATGCCTGTTCATTAAGTATCGACCATCATTTACTAGGTCGCTATCTCAGCAGTGTTATTTTACAGCTAAGGGTGGAAAAGGGAACACAGTAAACCACTCGCGGCAAACGAGGACAGAGTTAAGATGGATGCGCCTGCAACACATACTGATTGCTTAAATTGTGCCTCGTAGTGGAGAGAAGCGAACTCATTTCGACTGCCGTGAATGTAGAGTTCCAGAACTCTGGGTGTGCATTTACCCCATTTGCTCAAAAAACATAGGACTCTCTAATAAATTATCACCGAGTTGTCCTCCTCTCCTGAAGGCTGAGATGGAGAAATAGGTAACGATACGATTATGGCATACAAGGTTCTGTGCACTCGCATATAAATAAATAATGAAATTGATGACCTCCACCGAAGTACTAACTGTGTCAAAGACGGTCGAAGCTTTTGCAATACCTTATACTACTGTATGAAGAAATGGAAGTCACTTTAGCGGCCTTCTGGCCATGAATAGACCACACATCTACACCTTCTGTCTTTTAACAAGTAGTTGGCCAAGTTCTATATCTTCTATCGCTAAATAGAAGGATTTAGTCTGCTACACCACTGCTCTTGGAAAAATTCGGATTCTAGAAACAACGATTCCTCCCAACATCCTCAAACTAATTCGATCCTTAACATACATCTCTTTGATCACTATACCTATTAAAGGACCCCATTCGAAGGTACGTTCAGAAGTAACTCATAAAATTATCACTCATGACTGTTCGAGACGACGAGCAATTAGAGGCAGGAGAGCAAGTGAAACAGACTCTCGAGTCCACTAAACCAGACAATGCAGCCAGCCTAGCCGAACATAAGGAATGAGGACCAAAAAGGTTTTATGGGAAGGAATGTAATGTATACTAGAGTGTTTAAGTTGAAATTTATAGGAGAGGTGGGAAACAAAAATAATTGGAACACAATCCCGTGCGTGAGGGCCATGAGGAATCCTTCTCCGAGTGATATCTGCTATTTGGGTCATCTGCACTTCTACCCCCGTTCTTCCTGTAATCATGCCTAATAAATCTACTGCAACCGACCCTCTCTTGAGGTCCGTGGTTCAAGATCGTGAAGCTGGGCGGGCAGTTCCTAAACTGGCGGTAGCAATGAGATAGTGTATCGGCCCCAGACTTCCCATAGAGTAGGAGACAGTTAGTGTGACTGGATACATATATTCCGAAGAAAACAGAGCAAATGGGCCTGAGCATGACTCGAAGGCCAGCCCACGAGTACACTGGCCAGACAAATCCTAAAGTGATGGCAAACGTCAGGTAATCGCATAAACAAAGCACCACAGGGAATGCTACGCACCAAACCCACTAACAATGCCATCTCGACCTTGGACATGTTCACTATGCAGCATTTTGCGGTTTTGAACCTCACAAGAAATTTTTTGTGAATAAGTTCATTCACGCCCCACAGCTTTACATGCAGACATAAACTAAATTAACGCATCCTGCAAATCGCTTTGGCCTAATTCGGAGCCTGTAGTTCAGGACTTTTTTGCAAGTATTATTTATTTGGTGAAGTCATACCGAGATGTGAAGCAGGCTTTTCTATCTCCTGCTTTTGGAGAACTTTCTAATTTCACAGTTCTTACCGTCACTTAAACATTCCAGACCCAGCGCATCACACAATGTAGACTAATGACCACAAGGACTCAAAAGGCATTCTCAAACCCTTGTAATTTTCAGGCACACTCCTGGCCAACCGATTTCCTCTGCAATTGAATAATGTCCACTCGTCACTCACATTACCTCAATGGAAGCATGTATCAACTTCGCTTCACATAACTTACATTCAAATATCTGAAGGAACTGCTTTTCATCAGAGACCGCTGAACACGTCCGATTTGTGTGTAAAATGTGTTGTTTGATTCTTGTTTGGTGGGAAATATGATAGTTATTGGAACACCCCTCCACTAACAATCCCCCTCTTAGGGCAAAAGTTAATAAAACTGTGTTTTAAAGCTTATTTTAATCATACATAGAGGAAGGAGCTCGGAGGCAAAGGCCACGTTTGTGCTGAAAAGTGCAAATAAACATTTAGTTGCATCCGTTACAGTCAGTATAAGTGATGACGCCATGTATTTTCTCATAATGGTGGCTCAGGAAGGTGTCCCCGCGGAAGTGGCATAGAAAATAGCAAAATTACCAGATAAGACCAAGGCCTTTGAACAGTTGGATATAGCCTAGCCCTAAACCACTTTCTGAGTGTGAAAAGGGAATGCGATGCAGTGAGAAGAAGCGAATAGCCACGAAAGCAACTGTCTCTATTCCGATTTGGTAAAATAAGATCCTACGTTTCAACCCGATTTTGGAGGCCAGATTTATCACTGCCTAAGTGTGGACTTGCCCAGTATGACCAATGAATACCACCAATTTCCACCTAACTTTTCAAGCAGCTCAAGAAATAGTACTAAAACATTGGGGCAGAGTTCCAAAAAACGTCGGTACAATCCAGAACACCACCACATCTATTGTTGTATGCACTTTCTCACTACAAATAAGTTATTTTGTGGGGCTAATACGAATCAGTCGACAAAACTTAAAGCGCTAAAATAACTACTCGTAAAGTGAGAAGGATAACTAAGTGGTACATTTTCATCCGAGTAAATGGTGCGTTCGGGGCACCATATGCTTTCAAAGTCTAGATAAGGGAATAGCAAGGAAGAACACATTTCGAATGTTTTCCTTTATCTGTTGTTCAGCATACAGCCTAGTAAAGTACCTTACTTCCATATTAAAGGAAAGCGTTTTAAATACCATGGCAAATAATCTCCTTATTAGGCACCGACGCCAAACACCTGAAAACACGTTAGTGGTTACAATTTATTAAAGCTCTAGCCTTTCAAAAGTCTACATTTTCAGATTAAACGAAGTAAGCACCGAAAGCTAATGCTAGAGTAACCGAAAATCCTCCGTTGATAAGCACAGCGCCAAAAATCATGCGAATTCACTCCAAAGTAGAACATGGACTTTCAAAAATGTTCAATACTGTTTACCATTATTCGAAATAATTGACCATTTCGTGGGGGGGATGCACTTAAAATCTCATCATTTTCCACGCTAACAGCTTTTAAGTTGTCAATGTTAATATGAGGATAACAGGAAATATTGTTGTTCACTTTTAAACGCAGACTTCTGTAATATTGAAGGAAGGAAAAGAATGTGGGAATTTTAGACGGAGACAATGGCTCACCTGTTGGGTATGGAAGCTGGTCCGGTTTGTCATTCCTGTCGATGTACTCCACCACTGACATCAGACCTTCGAGATGAGATACCTCCGCGAAATACCAAATTTCGGCTAAAAACGCAATTGACGCCCTGATTTTGACGCAACGTGCATTCGGTTGCAAGTTGTCAACATATTTTTTATAATGAAATTATTGCAGACAGGGCAGGTAGCACCAATGCTCCGTTTCAAGGCAGTTTAAATAGGAATTGCAGTATAATAATATAATAATGTTATTACAATCGCCAACCTAATGGTGGAACCAAGTCTGGGTGGTCCTCCAGAAGATCATCTAGGAGAGAGGCCATCCTCATCTATGACGAAGGTGAAAATGTCTGTATACGTAGTTAGTAGATCTTATCAAAGGTTTTGAGCACACGCATTGTGCAAAGAATTTAAAGAAAAAACTAAACTAAACACTTTGGAGCTATGGCATCAAGCGTCAAAGTATCCTTCAAAATCGGAAGATGCATAAGCATAAAATATGCTCAAATCGAGAGGAAGCAGTGGTTATTGTCCAGCTACCTTCGTAAATATTGTCTAAAACGCTACTAAATTTAAAAAAACCATGTCTTAATATTTATGCCTCCTTACATTCTAGTTATATCAGCTAGAACTTTCTAGGTTGGTGTTCTGCAGAATGGAATAATGGCATAGTTACCTTATAAATTTCTGGTACGTATTCCTCCTGATCCTAAAAGGAAAACCGACTGGGCTTGTGGCTTAACCATCCAATTCAGTGTGCTTAGAATCAATAAAACACGAATTACAACGTATCTTCATTGCAGAACAGGCGAGACATGTGCTGAGTCTTGTAAGCTGCTGCAGCAGCTCGATAAGCCTAAACTCGTCCTCATTTGGATCAAAATGTGGAAGCTTTTCCAATGGTTCAATATCAAATGTCTTCACTTCAAATGTGCGAAAAATACGTGCCGGAATATTATGAAAGACACATAAAACTCGACTCTGAATAATGGGCGCCTCTTGCGGATCTTTCACCATAAGTCGAATAATCTCCAGGTCAGATGGATTTTCGTATTCTTCATCGTTTTCATCGTTTGAAGAATAGCAATTGACAGATTTGTAAGCATTTAGAGTTTGCTTTAATAGCGATTCGGATGCAGCGAGAGCATGCATTGCGCTAAGGAGACAATGAATTGGTGCCTACACACCGTGATTTATACATCACTTTACCTCAAGAATGATAACCATGAATTTGGGGTACACCAACAAAAGTCCGGTGACATCCATGGGTGGCTTTTGTTGAGGAATCATATTCATAACAAAATCTATGCAAATATATTCAATTGACTATACTTATTGGAACATCATTTGATTTCACATGGGGACCAAATTTGGAGATCATCGTCACTGAGTGGAATATCTCCTCCTTTTGGTCAGTAAAACAAATGCTCAATATCTTACTCGAGTTGACGCGGCATATGTACCCTCAAATTCATCATACAAAGTTTTTTGTGGTCTACCGTCCCCCATGATCCAGTCGAAGATATGCCACCCTCTGGTTAAATAAGTTGTTGCAAGTTACTAGTAGCAACCTTAGGTTGTTAACTTGGCCTTAATAAGTTAAAAAACACCTGCATAGGTCTTTACTTTTATATGTACGTCCTGTTTGTGAAACATCCAAAAACGTGCCAGAAATCCTAAATATGACGGATTCTTAGATAAAATATTAAAACCCGATGGTGCTGGATATCTCTTTAAAGCCTAGGAGGTATATAGTCATATTTCCATATGGCGATGAGGTTCCTGCAGCAAATGATCGTAATCTTGCAAAGTGCTCATAAATAAGAACAGTCCTTGTAATATGCGTCGACTGCGTACCTCTTGGTGTTGATGACGGATCTCTACCATTGACGATCTAGGACGACTGGGTCTTTGAACCATAGCCTAAACCCCTAAATTTGTTGTACTTAAGCAACGAATTACCAGTGGTGATAATGAGCGAAGCTATTCTCAGAGAATACATACTCCAACTCCCTTTGTTAGGCGCACAAAATACTTTTGGTTTAAAAATCAATATATAGATTTGTGCTGGTAGTTTCTTTTAACAATTTCTCCTGGCTCACGTTTTGCAGAGACGCTAGCGACGTCCCGAATGGCAAGACCTAAACACTATCTGGGATAGTATAGAGCACGTGTATAAACGCCTCTAGTTTTTGTACGCGGGCTAAGGCTAACAACTATTTAACCGAAGAGTAGCAAACTGATGGAAGTGGCTGGATCACTTCATCATGATGATCGTGGCTAGAAGGCACAAAAGCGTCATGCATTGGTTCCTACCAGATACTAAACGGTTTTGCCTTTGGACTAGTGCTTTACAAGCAGCAATGGAAATGCCGTAAGTGATTGACTTCCTTTCCGCCTTCCCAGTTACTACACTGGGCAATAAGGGTTTGATTGCAGAGTGCCTAGACATCTCATCGGATAGAGGGAGACACCAAATAGAGCTGAATACATGTTTTCCAAGGAGAGCAAATAATTAAGCCTGAGCTCGGCCATGCATATAAGGATGGCGATAACATTAACGAAGTACTATCCTGATAATTTTGAGCTATTTTTATTTGGTATAAGCAACAACGGGACTGACGATGGGTTTTAATAAAGGTTTTTAGTCTGCTTCCGTACAATCCGCCCTCCATGTACTCCATTCGGGCTACACTTTTTCGACCTGTGTTTTGGAAGCGACATATTCCTCATGCTTGGCGGTTACCAAATTCAAGTCGGATTACTGGTTTTCACTGGCCGTATGACTAGCGGCCGCTTTAGTGTTTATCTTGCCCTTGACTTTTGTAGGTGAGAGGCGGGAACCAATTGGGAGCGCGAATCACGTGCGTGAAGCCGGCGAGGAGTCTCTGTATCTCATTCCCCATCCTTCCTAATAACAATGCCTAATAAATCGTCTGCAACAAACTGCCTCTTGAAGTCCGAGGATCAGAAACCAGAGAGTAGACAGGCAGCTCTTACATGGTGGGTTAGCCTTTGTGCCATATCTTCTCTTCAAAAAAGCAGGCACTCTAAAATGCTCAAAGTAATTATCTGCGCTGCATCTGCGAGCTGATGGCAGAGATGACACTACTCCGGAGCCTCCTGCATAAGGGAGTGTGTTTTATTCCGTCTCCATCGTCAAGCATCTGTTTTAGACGTCTAGTCCTGGAAGCAATTGACGGCCATCAGATGTATGCGGCCCCAGTTCCTGGTATCCGAGGTTAAGTAATTACAGATCCATTTGGAGCTATTGAGGGAACCAAGTAGCATCCCTCAGTGTCATGATAGCTGATGACTGGCGCGGCTAGCTCGAGGTTGTTTCCTTGTAAGGTCGGAAATGTTGTGATGGCTGAAGGTGGCGCCAAAGATGTCGCTCAATAAGAGGGGGGAGCAGGACAGTACCTATTTGATGTGATCCCCTGATGTCTGGCGGTCACTTTGGCAGTCGCCTTGCCTGTTTGCATGTAGATTGCACTTGGAACAAAGCGTTGGCCCAATTCCATTTTGTCCTTCGAAAATGCCTGTATTCAGCCTAACCAGTGCCTTTGTATACTTCATGGGAGGTCCTGATGTGCTATACAGTTAACGATATAAATTCTGCGAAATATTATTAATTAAAAACCCATTTGGACTCTTGCTGCAATTAAGCGATGCCATTTTCACCAAAATGTGACAATGTATTTTTGCAAAATTAGAAATCCCCTTTATGGTAATACGTTTCCTTTAAGCATATTAAGTCATGAGTATCATACTCACGCTATAATCGGAGAAGTGTTGCTGTGACGTTGGCTGACGATCATTTTCTTAATCTATATGTAATACGTGGTTGTATCAGTTGTTCGTTTAAGCTAAAGTTAGATCTTTGGAGTGGGACTTTTTCAAAAGCGCTGGTTCATTTAAACATTACTGGATCTTGGATTACCTCAAGACAGTCGCCCTGACGCGGGTAAAGCTTAACCAGCAATTATATTTTGGTTAGTGATATCATGGAACGGTCCTCAGTCTTGCTTTGCATAGGTTTTTATTCTTTTTAATGCATTTGTAAGAGCTAACGACACTTTTATTTTGGTCTCTACTTTCTCCTGTGTTTTTATTTTCTCCCTTTTCTCCTTATATTTTCTTTCTAGTCTATAAAATGTAGAAAACATCATTGATTTTCGAAGGCGAAGGATCAACTTTGAGCCTTACATTGAAGTGTATATCATGAGCCGTAATCGTGGTGGATCTGCTCATGTTTCTACTTTTCACTTTGGTTTCGTCGTTTTGGTCCTTTCATCGGCTTGTAGTTTTTCAGTAATGTAGAAGAAACTAGTGAATTGGATCACAATAAGTTTATTTTGAATTGCACACTTGCTTTTCCTACCTCGGTTTGTCTGTTTTTTTACCTACTGTTATCCTTCAAATATGATGGGGCAGTCATTAGTACTACTTTGATTTCATTTTTTGCTTCTAATCAGATGCATCAGTCCCCCCTGCGTTTTCATGAGTTGCTTTTTGGTATTCTGAATTCTTTGTCCTTCTAAATGCACCTCGAATACTTACATGAAGCACTTAAGCGTCCAAATGTTTGTGCGTAAGTTAATATGCAAGTAAACCTCTGAGACGTCTCGAATTAATTGTGTTCATTTCCTGGCATTCCTGGCGCGCTCTCTTCTTGTAAATTAATAGAGTAATCCACACAATATCCTAAAATCCTTCCCTTACTGCTGCGGATCCCTTTTTTTTAATTTACCACTTTTTTCATGAGCAATTCTGGATTTAGCCTATTGGACGAAAATTGCCTGATTGACACCCGGTTAAAGTCATGATCATCATACGTAAACACGTCTCCATATACGCACATAACTGTCTTAGTTGGCACACACACACACCCACTCAAATGCACACACAGACAATAACTCGAGAAACTACTTTGCATACCATAATGGTCCAGTTGAAATACGCGTAATGCTGACTAATCGGCTTCGGACGAGTTTGTGAGTCGCACGTCCGCACCATCTTGCGTGTGCGCACGCGCTTGGGTGCGTGTGACTGGGCGAACGGGATGCTGGAGACAAGCGTGGCACCGATGTTGAAAGCGTTGAGATGTAACACCTATCGAGGTTGAAGGGTTTCAATGACTTATTTAAGGGAGACGGTTTGCTAACATGAATGGGAATTCCGTCCTCCCATCTCTTTCGTTTACGCTCATATATTTCAGTCCTCTACCATTGCTACAGTTTAAAGCGGCTGACTCATCCATTATGCATTTGATCTGACCTCACCATAAGGCTGATTTCTATGAATTTCCCTCCGCATCACTACTTCGAATTGCTAGGAATTTTATCCAGTAACACTTGAGATAGCTTGGCCTCACCTATTATTGGATCAAACGATTACCATGTGAATTAAATCCAATCGGAGGCAAACATCCTTCTTTTTCAGTTGTTGCCATCAAGGAATTTGGGTATGCTCGCATCTTTAATATGCTGCAATAAGACACCAAAGGTAGCAGGTAGTCTTCAAACTAGGAGTGTGCGTGTGTGCGCACTTGAGCAATCGCACGAGATTCCATTTGTTCTTCGGTCTATGAACGCTTTTGATTAGCTATTCAAATATCTAATGCGAGTTTAATTCACTCGAATAACTGTGTTGCTTGTTTGTGTTGAAGTCAGGGTTCTGGGAGAAAGGTGGGAAGACCAATGTGTTATACTTTTGGCGTTAGGTGGTCATTTGGCAAAAAGCTAGGTTCGGTTCCGGTATTTGGGTAGCTAATTAATTGGGACGGCGGTTTGAGTGACAAGCCACCTCCCGCTATACCAAATGGTACTGCAGTGCCAATGAGGAAAACCGTTTTAGTGCCTCAGGAAACTCATTAATCCTGGAGTCCTCTCTGTCGTTACGCACACTCGCACATGTTCGTATGTGCCAGTAACTGAACAGCTGTTCTTGAGCTCCTGCATATAAAAGTGGATTAGCTTGCCTTTGTTGGTAGATCTTGTAGCTTCTACTGCTGCTATTTTTCGTGACTTATTTGAGTAATTCGATGTCATTATTGGCTACCAGCATTTGAGCTCAGAACTTTGCAGAATTCCTTCCAATACATTTTTCCTTTACTTTAGTCTCTTGATTTGAAGATTCTTGTTTGAATGGCTCTTCACACGGGCACTCTTGGTGGACTTGGGCAAGTAGGCGGTCCACTGGAGACAGCGAGTGGTGCCAGTGGTGGTGGCGGCGGTGGTACAGGTGGGGGAGCTGGTCTCACGGGTGACGCAGCACAGACGTCGGCAATGCCAACTACCGCTCATCCTCCTACCTTCATAAAGTACGCCCCCACCCCTTACGCTCCTTCGGCGGGGGACCCTTATGCAAATGGGGGAAGCGGCGGCGGCGGCCTAGTTTCCTACTCTGAGGAGAGCGCAGGCCAGCCTCCTCCCGCTACACCAACAGCCGCCATACAGATGCAACAATTTCCATCTCAGCCGCAATCACAGCGTCTTGTCCAGCCCCCAGCTCTTATTGACCCAGGTATGTGAAGCTGAAAAGCGCTCTTTTCCCGAGCAGACATCACCCATACTTGAGCACTTTTACACGTCGCCTTGGGTGTGTTTGTGTGTGTTTGTGTGTGTCAATCTTAGGTACTTTGCTTGTCGGTCTGTCTCTATCATTGTTAGTGTTGGTTAGACTGCAGGGCCGTCTCGATTACTTCAAACTTTTAATCTTCTGAGTATTTTTACATGGTTGATGAAATGCATATGAAAGATGGCTCTGATGATGCGGCTTTTCCACAAAAGAGGAGTCCTCTATACTGTCATTCATGTCGTTCCGCAATTAGGTTTGTCATTCCTTGGTTCTGCTTACCTATGGCACTAGAACGCTGGGTACATAGTCCTGATGGGATCATTTGGTGGTTATTAGTGCGTTTTTTTGCGTTATCTGTTCATAATTTGTTCCCTCTTGAGTCTCATTTGTCTTTCACTGACTTAGAAGGCCTGCCAGCGTTATGTCACGATTGTCCCCGACTTCGCGTATTGTTAGTCCTACCAGCTGTCGAGGTTTAAGGTCACACGTACAAAGGCATTGGGACCCGAATGTAGCATCAGCTCACGCCGGCCGAAACCGTCGAAACATATTTTGCATCCTCGTCGCAATGATACTGCTACCACGTACGTGTCTTCAGTCTTCTCAATCTGGTAGGTTTAGGGAGGCGCATTCACAGACAGGTGCTTTTGATGTTTGCGTCTAGAATTCTGTTTTTATGGCGTCTGTCTCTGAGGCTACAATAAAAATGCCGTTACGCGCCATCTCGACTCCCCCCGACAGTAGGCATATCGACACTTGTCTGCTGTAATACGCGCAGTAGAGTTTTGGGCACGTTTCAGAGTCCTTTCGGAAGCCTATGATGTTGCAGTCCATAGGTATTTTTTCCCTCTGAGACTTATTTCGATAACGCATATATCGCTGCTGCCCTAGTTACAGCGCATAATATTTTCATCGTTCTCCATTTCGACCTATTTGTTTCGTCTCCTCCGCGTTGCATGGTACTTGTTTGTTTCCGGATTGGATAGACATTTCGGTGTTTTGACTTAGTGTATTCACTTGTAGTTTTTTGCCGACCCATTAATTCCAGTGATTTTGACGGGATTGGAATTGAATGCACAACTGCCAAACGCATAATCTCTTGGTTATTTCTATTTGTTGTTATGATTTATCTGGCTTTCAAACCCTTACTTTTGTTTAGGCTACTATATGCAATCGTGTTGGGGTGCGTCTCCCCCAGGCTCCACAGGTCAGTCTGGTGGAATGATTGGTCAGCCGCAGGCACCACCCTCCGTGCAACAACAACAACAACCAAACTTTGATGAATCTCTCATAAGTAACGGGAGCGTGGTCGTGGTATCCTCCACCCCATCCTCGTCATCGACTTGCTCCACTCCAGGGGGTTGCACTGTTGTCAGTGGCCTAACAGTGCCTGGCGGCGGTAGTGGATGTGGGGACCGTAGACTCATTACTCCTCCCATGGGTCCACTGCCTCCTCCCCCATCAACTACTCCCGTGCCTGGCGGTCTCTATGGTCCAAGATTCGCTACCATGCCACTGTATCACCATAACCCTGGTGCCACGGCCTGCATTCCCCAACAATCTGTGAGTTATCTCTTTTATAACCCATCACACGATCCCTGCATCTATATTTGTCTATGGCAAAGTTTAGGTGTCGAAATTTTTTTAGTCGATCATTATGCATTACGTTCGGCGGTCGCCTAGTGTTATCCCATCACCTATATTTGATGTACGAGCTTGACTTGTGACTTTCATTCCCACCAAATACGCTTCGTGTTATTTGATGGGCTTCGTGTGGGAAAACATCTTCTGTTTTGTGTTTGTCTCACAATTACCAAGCCAAACAGTCTAGTTGGGCAAACGCCAACATCCGATGTTAGTTTGGGTGGGCACCTTTAGCCCCCTGCTTTGTCCTACTAATCGCAAATCAGTAGAATGGACTGTTTGTTTTAATTGCGGCTCTATGCCATTCTACTCTATTACAATGTTTTCTCAAGTTGTCAATCTGATACCTTTTTGGAGCCGATTGTGTGTGGTCGGGTTGAACTTACAGCACCTACTGCTAGTTGAAAATATTACTGAGCAAGGCATTCAGAAGTCCATAAACACAGGTGGTGGTACCTCTCCCAGTTGAGGTAACTAAACTCACGCTAGCCTACCGCTTTGCCCTGTCCCAGACGCGAACGAGACTGCGTAACAAATTGCACAAAATATGACCGCAACCCGAATTGAACTTGTATCATCCTCTTCTCTCCTTTTACTTACTGTTTCAATAAGCATTTCTACTCATACTTGAGTTCAGATTGTGTGCTTATAAAGCGGCTATTTATCCACCGCATGTTAGACCAGTTTGCCCCAGATTACTACTTTTATCTCCCTCAATTCATTCAAACTGACTGCTCCATGCTCTCTGTTATGTAATTTACGCGTTGTTTCAGGCACTTTGGTTTTTTTCCTCTCGTGCCCGATTTGCGGCAAATTTGGCCATGCATTGCTCCCTTTTTTCCTCCTAGTACGTCGTGGTGGTGGTTATCTACAAAGTTTGATGTCACTATATGTGGACGTACCTTCTTTTCCTTTGCGTTGAAGGCACCCGATGGCATGGTGGTGTCACTGCAGATGAAAGGTGGCTTTTATCACTTAGCATTTTATTTGCACGCTAAAATGGATCCAGTGCCCCGTCATGGGGAGTAAATATGAACTGAGGAAGAAGAGAACAGTTGCAGGGAGAACCGTGAGCGTATTGGTTAGCAATTCAAGAACATTTGTAATGGATGTAAATTAGCTCCTGTGTACATGCAGGTAAAAGTATTACTTTGCCACAAAATTGAGGCACAAACTTGCCTTCCCTTTGCGTGTGCGCGTGCACCTCCATGTGTGAACGAAGAAAGCGGGCGAGCACGCGTATGCATCTTTCCAGAGGCAGAAGGAGCAATAGGGAGATGAGGCAAGCGCGAATATATGAAGCCAAGCCAGAGTGCAAGTGGAGGAAGAGTGAAGTGGCAATGTGTGTGCACATATAGGAGATGGTCGTCGCCTGACATCCCACGAATAGCGCATGTTCCCGCAAGAATAGTTGCGTGCATGTGGGCACCGCCGTCACCGTCGCTTTTTGGCGTGTACGCTTTATTTCCTTGAATTCAAACAAAAATCAGACAAAAATAGTAATTTCTACGGCAAACATTGCTACAACAAACTCTAGCTGATTGCTTGCTTTCAAAACCTTTCGCGCATTTTATGCTAATTATTTGATATTGCTACATTTTTATCAGCCATTGCCATCATCACTTTGTTCGTCTGAACTTGTTGCGCCGTTCTGCAGTGGTTCCATCTTTTGATGTTGCCGCCGGGTCCATACACTCCTCTGCTCTGTCCCCACCACAAAGAATCATTAAATGCTCCCACCTCATTAATGATCTTTCTATCCAGGACATGCGATAGTGTGCACCATCCCCGCAAAAGTAGGAAGGGAATAGGACGATCTTACAGCGCTGTTGTTTAGCAACATCACTCCGATCTTGGTCAATATTTCGTGTAGCCTGTGTATGCTTACTGAAGCCTCACCTATACTAAAGAAAATAGTTTCTCCAGAAATCTATTTGCTCCCGTAAGCCTGTCGTATGTCGACGCACTATTTTATTTGCCTTCACTACACATACAATTGTGCGCTTGTCAGCACTGGCTATAAGGGTATTTCAGTTCGGAAAGCGCACCGCCTGTCACCCATTCTGTGGACCAATATTCACAGGAAACACTAGCTTAAAGTACGGAGGTATCGAGGGCGTTTTTGCCAACTTAACTGAGATAGTTTTGTAAGTCCATTGTTTGATAATTTTTGCTGTTTCACATTCTTTATCTGTTTCCGGCTATACGCGTTGCACATGCACATAAAATCGGGAGATTACTCCTTCGCCCAGTGATAATCACGAGTAACTAGATAAGTTGATGATATAATGCACGGCCTCGTGCTTGTGCTATTTCGATCCTTGTCACCAGTGTTAACAAAGTGTAACTACTCATCACACTCACGTCAAAGCATCATTTTCCATGAAACCAAGTCGTGAGAATGTGCCAGAGAATTTTCTTTTTCGTGTTTGTGTGTGTTTATAGGTGTGTGAAATTCTTCACGGCTCTTCATCTTCCTCTGCGTTCTGAATGCTCACGCCTTGTATGTATGTATGTGTGTGTGTGTGTAAGCGTCTTCACACATTTAATTAGGGACTGCTTAAATGCGATTTAATTGCTCATCGCAGTTGAGATGCTCTTTGTCATCTTGTGATCCAAAGACTGCTTTTTGCATTGACTTACTGAGCCCAAGGTTGGTCATTTTCCTTTGCGCTTGGGGAGCAAGGTTGTCAATGATCTACACAACTATAGAGAATGCCTCGAATCCCACCTGTCAAAAACTCAAAAAAGATCTAGTCTTGCGCATTTTGCACAAGTCCTAAGGCACTCATTTGCCTCTAGACTTGTTTAGGTTTTTGAAGCTCCTACAATTAAAATGAACGAATTTGCACCATTTGTACTTTAAATTTTAAAGCATTTATTCTAAATGCCTCGTTGGCAAAATATGACCCTTGATTGTCTCAACACAGGAAATTTTCTCCCTGAATGTACTGACGATTACACGTTTAATTAATGGTATTCGCTCCTCGTTTGCACTTTCAAGAGGCCTGGAGTGTAGAGGCTTGTACTTCCATGTTAAAATGTACTTTTAATAACTTAGATTATCTGACGGAGAACGCTCTGGGCACGTTCCGTAGCAAAAGAGTGGCTTGAGTTATCAAATCCCGGATCTGGGTTGCACTTTTTCGTCCATTCTAACCTGTTTCAAAGTGAAGCCTGTTATACAGTTTAGAAGCAACGGTCTCATTGTTTGCTGTTTTCAAGTGCGAATTTATTTATGAAACAGCATTTAATAGGTATGAGTTTGGTGCAAATGTGTCTCTCCCCGATCGCTTCTTGTGGATAAGAGGTCTCTTGACTCGATGGAGACACCATTGCTTCCTTTCTGCACTTCAACTGATCTCCGCGTACTCTATTGGGCGGACGCGGTTTGTTCAATGGTCGTGCGCACCCTTTGCATAATCTTGTAGTGGAAATGGTCGGGTCGCCCTTTTTACAACAATGCTTTCCGCTACTGTTATCTTGGGAGTAGTTGGATTTTTCGGTTGTTCCACTGCCTCCCTTCAAAATGCAATGGAGAATGTACTTTCGCAGCTCTTCCACGCAATGCCACCTTGCGTAGATATTCGCTTCATGTGATTGTGTTGGGCTTTGTGTCAATTCAGGAAATGAATCCTATTTCTTGAATTCAATTACAAAGTAGCCATTGACCAAATGTAGTGCAGTCGTACTTCCCGATATGTCCCTGTATCTCTCGCAACACTTTTTTTGTATATTCGTCCTTGCGAATTTGACTGGTTGTTCCGCAAATCATCTAAATTATTTCGTTTTTGGAAGTAGTGGTGCACTTTTGTGCACGCATCTGCCTGGGAACGTATGCATATCTGTGTCTTCGTGCTGCTTGTGCGACATTCCGCCTGTCATCATCCATTGCTTCCCTTCCATTCTCTCCACTTACTACTATATGTGGTTTGTCCAAAATGCAGATGTGATTCCCCTCGTTCCATTTCATTCGCATAACTGCCACCATAATGTGGAAGCACATTTTGACATTTTCACTCCCTCATCCCACTATTGGAGTGAATCTACTTTGAATAAGTTAGTTTTTCCCCAAATTTACATTATTCTTTATACTTCTAGGGAGCTTTTAGCAAAATCGTGCGTACCTAAACTATCTTTTGTTTCCAGTTTTTCGTATTTTCTTAGTTAAGGACGTCTTCTCCTTTACTATCCATATTTTTGTAGTGACGGTTCTAGTGTTGTCTGAGGAGGAGGAAGTGCGTTCTTATCACTGTATGTGAGGCCTTTATTTGGTGAATGGTCGAGAGCTGTGCGTGCACATGCTCCCAGTGGTGTGTTCACGTGAGCCTCCGTTTTTGGTGTTATTGTCACTATCGCTGCCTTTGACATCGATGATAGGGACAAATTGTTCGCTTACCCAATTTGATTGTAGCTCCTTTAAAGGCAATCTTGGTACGTTTTAACGCGCCTTCTGTGCTCTAGTTCTGTGGGAAAATAACCTCAATTGGCTCCGGTGAAGAGGCGTTAGAATCTTCTCACGCTTGAGTGCTTTGCTTTCTCTATTTGCCGGCTATAAGTACGTGTGCATGTATGGGTAATTGCGCCGTTTTTCTCAAAAGCTATTGTTACTGCTTCTTTCATTTATTCTAGGGGCGCAAACATCATTTACCCATTGTCATTTACGCAAATTCATACCAAGACACCCTTACCTGATTAATCCTGCTCCACTGGTTCATGTAGGTCATGTGTAAATTGGCGACTCGGTTGTTTCTGTTTTACAGTCAGCGACATACGTGCCAATGACACCAAACAACCATGACCCGACCTGCCTTACCCCTGGATTTGCTGGGGCCCCGACAATGAATGGTCAGCGCCTCTACATGCCCACACCTCACAGTGGCGTTGGATTAGGGCCTAGAATGCCTCCAGGAGGTGCGCCACTTCGAGCTGCACCTGCGTTACCCTTTGGTTACTTCTCACTGGCTCCATCTACCCCTGAGGGCATCACCGCAGCTGCAATGTGCCCCACCGCCGCTCCTGGTCCCTTTTCTGCTCCCCATGGTCCTCTTCTCCCTCCTGAACAACAGAGTACTACTGGACGCAAGACTGAGTCCACTACTAGCAAAAAGAAGCGCACCAAAAACACTAAGGTGCATTGTCCACCAACGGTCACCTCTTTCTTCCTTACTTTTTCCTGTGTTTGCGCATATGTTTGAATTTCATAATGCAGAATCTAGAGGTGGTTTTATTTTTATTGAGATTTGGATATATTTTGGACCACCAAGCTTCTGTAAGTTGTTATCGTTTTCAGGCACCGTGTAGCGTCTTCATATGGATAAGTTAAGCACAGCTCAGCAGAGGACGTGATGTTCGACACAGACTTGCAGTTGCAAGTCAAATCACTTATTAATGACGAACTCTAAAATATCCATGGTGTAGCATCGTGTTTTGCTAATGTAAACACATACTTTGCATAAAATGTTTTGAAGGCCTGTAGTAGGGGCATTTTCATGTCCTGAAAATGAGGTAACCAATGGATGGCCCATCTCATTAGACCCTCGCCTTTTCTGCGATATAATGGGGTTGACCCAACGAGTGAATTTTTGCTAAATTTTTTGTAACTTTACTATCTGTCATCCAGTAATGGTTGTGCTTTCACCGCCTCCTCTATAATGTATCTCGTGTTCATGAGACCTGGGCTAGTGATAATCCGGTGGATTTAGTATCCTTCGCTCTACCAAAACCAGCTCGTTCTACTCTTATTGTCTGTGGTAACTTCTACTGCTTTTATTTCCTTAGTTTATGCTCAGCAATGTAGGCATAGTCACCCATTCTTCTGGTCTAATTTTGCTTGATAGGTTTTCACTCGGTCCACTTTGTTAACCACCGCTTCCTGTGAATGACGGGCGTTGTTGCATTTCTTGTGTTTAGATGTTTTGCATCCAGTTCTTTGACAACGGTGATGTCACTTCATCATTGTAACCGTCCGATTTACGCTTTGCTGATCGCCACTCCTATTCGGAACTTTCATTGAGGCTTGATTTATATTGCTACAAAATGGTCGCTTATGAGCCTTCAGCGGCTAGCAGATGTGTGAGGCCAGTTTTTCTTCTTGACTGCTTTTTGTAGAAAGATGGAAGATGCGTTTACAATGCAAATGTCAATAATTTTTCCTATTCAGCTTGGCTAGCGGTAGCATTGACCCCTTGCGTTAACTTTTGACTTAAGCATTGTCTTCCCTCCATGCTACAGCTCTTCCTATTGTGGCAAGTTGGAGGGAACTGGAAGAGTTTGTTAAGTCTTTTGAGTCAACACGCATTTCCTATGATTATTATGGCAGCAAACCCTGTTAATCCATGTATACTGGGAAATGTTTGCAAAATATTTTTCTTAGTTATGCTGATGCTTAAAAAGCCAGTTTAAGGAAACTATTGGATGGACAATCGTATAGTAGAGGGTATTTATTTTCTCATCTGCATTGGCAAATTTTAGTAACCCCTTAAAATTCAACGGATCGGCATGAGTTTGCTCACTATTACTTTCTTGACCATTCGATGGGTAAATGAAATAAGGAAGTCCATTTTATCTGCAGCCTAGGTAACTTTCGACAGACTGTTTCTTGATGTGATAACCTTTTCAGTGGGCAATTGGACGTCACTATTTTGATTGTAAAAAATGATGACAGTTACAAATGTGCAGCTCTTTGATTTCAACTCAGAGCCAACGCAGCCGGTGGGGAAATGTTGTGGTGGCTGCTTGTTAGGTTAATTGGCCCTTGTGACAAATACATGGTGACCTTACCAACCGTGTGCATGCTGATGACTCAACGACTGTTGATGGTACCTTTTCCATCGGCCTACTTGCTAGTTCACATAGCCCTCTTGTCAAGGATTTCGGCCAAAAATGGTCAACTTCAGGTGGAACTCACTTTCACTTAACGTACCATTCAAAATATGCCTTTGCTCCCCCAAAAGCAAACTACACCTGGATTTTGGGGAACTAATTAATAATATTATTATTATTATTAATAATTAATAATGTGCTTGTGCAGTTCGTCTGCCTATTTGATGACCACTAGAATCTTTTCGTCAAACTCTTATAGGCGTAATGACTTGGTTTTGTCATATTAATATAGACCCGAACAGCCACTGCGCGCGGTGGTAATGGGAGAGGTACGGGTTTGGGTCCGAGTGCCAATCCACCACCCAAGGTGGTGACAGTAGGTGCGCCTACTGCAGCCGGCCTCGCCGGCCCACCACCGCCACCCCAGATGATGGGCACGGGTATGATGTTACCCACCAATGTCTCCACTCCTTCCCAGTCTCCCATGTGGGCACCTCGACCTGCGGGGCCAGTCATGACCAACGGATCCATGTTGCCAATGGCTCCTCCGCCTCCTCCCGTCACAACCAATCTTTCGGTCTCCTGCGCTCTTCCTTCCAAGGTCGTCGGTCTCCCTATGTCCCCACTCAACAGCGTTGTACATACACCACTTGTTCCACATCAGCACCATCCTACGGCAGGACCTGGAGCCACCGCAACCACTGCCAATAGTATTGCACCTCCGCCTTCACAGTCCTGTCCCTCCACTGTCTACGCTTCACCTGTTTCGCACCCTCTCCCTCCTGAACAGACGGCCGGTGAGTTTCCGTCATTCATACAAACATTAAGCGATTGCAACCACGACTCCCCTTTGACGCTTCACTTTGAGAAGCTCCGGCTCAAATTGCCGTTCTCGGCGGATGCACGTGTTTGGCTTGAGCTTACATATGTCAAAGGACTCGTCAATTGTTCATCTTTGCAAAAGGCGTTTTTACTGGTAATGTGTTCATAAGCTTCTGAGTTTTGTCACCACTAACAACAAAAGACATTTGGATTTGTAGATACTTCCCTCTGACAGTATTTATTAAACTAAGCATTATAGCTTCATATCATCCAGAATAATTGTTTTTATCATACCCTTTCAACAGAGCGATTGGTGTGTCCTATTACCAATGGAACAGTGGTGCGTCCAATGGTGCTGCATTTAGACGAGGAGCAGACTCGACAGTCACCAAACTCGCTTCAGGTCCGAACTTTTGAATTCGACGTGTCAAAGAATCATTTGGAGACGATAGTGGAACGTCCCGACTTGGATATTGTAGTCTGCAGTCACCTAGTGCACGAGCCACTGCAGGTGTGTCATTGGCCTGCAGAAGCGGTACACATCCGATTCAACGGCACTGTCTTCCAACTCGATCGAACTACCACTGCGGATGGCCAGCCTGCGCATAGAGTTTGTGGCGTTAAATCACTCTGTCGACCCTCTCGTAACGTCATCGAAGTCTTTCTTTCTCCTTCTCGTCCTCCTCCTCACCAATTCCCAAATTATAGTCTCAAGGTGAGTTGCTTACATCCATCTATCTACCTACTCTTCTAAGTCTTTTCAGCAAGCTCTTCAACGTTGTGATCTCATTGCCAGATGAAACGAAAATTGGAGGTCATTTGATATTTTAAATCGCTGTTGGAATACCATAGCTTATTGACAATTCTAAAATTTGTCATATAGATTTAGAAAAGCTCAAATTAGTACTTATTGGAGTTGTTGGTTGTTTGTGTTCTACCAACCTGACAGTGCGACAAAGTTGCTACGACATTTTTTTGTCGTGAATAATTCATCGCCAATTGTGTGGATCTCTATTTCTTTATCCAAATGCCTCTCCGATTTATGAATTAATCCTACACGGCTAAAGAGTACTTAGACCTTCTTGCGATCCATGCAACGTTGGAGCATTCTCAATGGTACTCCGGTCTATTTTGTGTTGAACTTGGAGCCTATGGTTGGAACAATGTTTTTTCCCTAATGCCACAGGAAATCCTTTTTCCAATGGTGAATTCTTTGTCCCGTTATTGATTTGTTCCATCAGAAATGGGGGTCACATGATGTTGTTTCAGGTGATTGAAAATTTCATCGATTGGTATGGGAATTTTTGACTTATTTAAACGACCTTTGGGAAAATTTAAAGTGGTTGTATTTTTTGTCATTATTACATTGTTTTTAACTGGTTTGATTAATGAATGATGTGGGTAGTCATTTGGCCCTACTCGAGTGCGCACTGATTAAATTCTGGACGTCTGTCTGCTTTTGCACCTATTGTTCACAATCAATAATGTAGATTCTATTGCCCTTATCGAGATGTCACTGACTCTGGAATCATCATTTTTGTAATCTTCACCCTCCCATCTACTAATCGGGCCTTTTTTGGTGACTAGACGTTTGCGAAATTAATTGAAGGGATTTGGATGGCGTTCCAACTGATCGCCTAGAACTACCAGTCTCAACGTTTTAAATGCTATTCAACTGTCAAAAGGCGTCACCTCCATACCCGTCTGCCTGAAACTGTGCTTTTCTTTTAAGGTTTCCGCCTTTTTCACATCTCAAAGTGTATTTTGTTGGTTTATTGTTGCCGATTCTCTTGGTAGAAATAAGTTCTATTTTCCAGCCAAAAAAATTCCACTTCCCTGCTCAGCCACACTGCCTGCTTCGAGGTGAGAATGTCGATCAGAAGTTCGACTGCATGTGAAAAAGACAAGCGGTTTCATTTTAAACGCTCAAATTGTTTTAGCTGCCTGTTTAATGGGCTGCTTCCGTGCGCGTACAACTTCTGCAGTGTTTGTATTGCGCGTTTCATTAAGTTCATTCGAAGATAAGGTCAGGATTTGGAACTACCTTGTTTTCTTTTCAAAAAAAAATCAAATGAAAAGTGGATGGTGAGTTTTCTTGCTCGATTGTAGGGCAAGTTTCTTGCAATAAAATCACCATTGCTAAATTCTCTGGCGTCACAATTATGGGCGTTCTATGTGCTCCCCTTATCGGTTAACTTGTGTCACCCATGCAATCGCCTCCACTTTGTTTGCTCAATTGTAATCCCAATCGTGATAACTGGACAGGTTTTGAAGTCCCCCCACTAATTAGGTGTCTGCTTCACCTGGGACAGTTTTGGTGCGCAACATGGTAGGGTAGAAAAATAATTAGGTTTAGTCAATGGCAAAGCGATGTGTGTGCATGTGTCAATGTGCTACGCTTTGTGTGTTTTAAGGCATCAAAGTAGATGCGACACCCATTGTTGATGAGTCAACAATGCAAGCGCACTACTCACACCCGCTTGCCCACGCTGCTAGGAGGGCGCGAGTGGTATTTCCCCAATTGCATGCGATTGACTTATTTCCACGCCTTGCCAGTCACCGCGATAGGCCACAACTGTCGCATTAGGAGCGCGTCCTATCAGATGCTTGTGTATTTTATTCATGTCAATACGTTGGGCGGGGGTGAGAAACTAAATACCGCACGCACGCCAGCGAATTCACACACCAAAGAGGAGCAGCGTACGTGAGTAGATGAGTAATTCTGTCAGCGCAAACACAATTTAGCCTTTCACCGGGGCGTCATTTATGCACCTGTCCGTCTATCGAAAGCCTATGCAAATTGTGGTTGCCCGCTTGTTTCCTCACTTGCCTGTCTATCTATCTGCATTTGAGTTTTACACGTATGCGCACAACTGCATTTCTCAAAGGTCCCTTATCATTATATCTGGTGTGTGCCCAAAATTACAGCACTGTACACAGCGGCTACCGCCGCCTGCGCGCACTCGCTCGCTCATGCACTTGTTTTCGTCTTCCGCCGCGCCGCACACCACACACATTTGTCCCTCGCATCCTCCACTTCAATTGGCAGTGAAAGTTGCGCATTCGCACGCACACACAGTTTGATCGATGCCTCCTTTTTTGCACGTGCGCACTCGCTTGCCTGCTTGCTTAGCCTCCCGCCCGCCTGCCCGTCTGAAACGAGCAAGGCGGAGCAGCACGTCACAACGGAAGAGGCCAGAAATGCCTCTGTATGTGTGTGTATGTATGTACGCGCGTGCGCGCATGGTTGGAGAGCTGGCTGGCTAGCTGTTAGGACTGTGAAATTCTTGGCCGAGCGTGTGCACAGGTGTGTGTCCCCTCGTTATGTTCCGATACGCCGTGGCTGCCATGGCTGCTGCTGTTCTTGCTACCACTAATGCTGCTACTGCTACTATGCCTTCAGACAGACCAATCGGTCCCCTCTTTCCTCTCATTAGGAAACAAATTTAGTTCCTACTGACGAGCAATTTAACTCCATCTGTAATCGTACACGAATGGATTTGCACAGAATGGTTATTATCACTACAAGGATGTAGAGGATCGTGACGCTAAACATATAAGGAAATTAAATGCGATTATATCTGCGCATTAAGGCAGTGACAGTTATTTCAATTTTGCCAGTTAGGGTGATTGTACTGGTGCAGCAAGACGTTTACAGATCTTAATGCAATGTTTCAATACTAAGTGTCATCTAAAACAAATTTTGGTATTTGATGCGTATGAACAACAAAATATTGCTAATTCGAACATCTTAAAAAGGTCATATCACGTGCTATTGAAAGGGGTCTTGATGTTCAATAGCTCTTGTCGCAGCTCATGCGAATGCTTAATCCTGTGTTCTCCCGACTGAAGGACCATAGATTCGCAGTATTTATGGCACATATGCCGGCGGTAAGCATGGTGCTAGACGGGCTGCTACGGCGGGTGCCAGAGGAATCGCTTTCCCTTACGAAACTTCTCATCACCTCATGGCGCAACCGACAAGCAGGTGGCGGGCAAGACCAACATCTCGCCTCCACTACTCCGCCGCCTCCAGCCAACCAGTCTGTGGCGGCTGAAATTAGTCTTGTTTGTCCTGTCTTCCGCTCGCGCATGCAGATCCCTGGCCGCTTGGTGGGCTGCCATCATCTCGAAGTATTTGACATGGAGGCCTATCTCCATCGAGAAGCAATTTGGTCTCGACTCCTCTGTCCCATCTGCAGGTGGGACTCACGTTATCGTCATCATCGCGCTTTGGTGCACTGTTGCCTTTAAACCTGTTCCATTTCCTGTTTCAGTAACGGCAGCCCTGCGGGTTTGGACAACCTCTATATCGACTACTTTCTCCTCAACATAATCCAGCTAGCGCCAAAGACTGTCTCCACGGTGCAGGTGCGTTCAGATGGTTTTTGGCGCCTCTCACCGCCTCTAGCATGGCAGCTACCGCCTGGCATCGATCAATGGCAGCCCATCGTTGGTCCGCCCACACAAGCGTTCGCTTTCGCCCTTCAAATCGGCCCTACGCTTCTCATGACTCAACCGCCGCAGCCGCATCAACCGCCATTTCAAACTCAGCAACAGCAACCAGTTGCTACTAATGGATTAGAAGCTGGAGGACAAGCGCCTACCAGGCGTTCCTGCGGTACTATGGCTTCTCCGAATACAGGTGAAACGCCGGCGCCTTTGCTGATATACTCAGGTTTGGAGCCATCCTCCGGAGGTTCGCAAAATTCCACAGTCAATTCCCATCACCAGCACCCTTCCAATCAGTGGAATGCAGGTGAGATGTCAATAACAAATTTCACTACTCCCATTCCACTAGTAGGTTGAGTTAACTATCTGTTTCCGATTTATTCTGTTCTCATAAATGATACTGCTGTTTATTCAAATTATTCAGCTCAGGTAGTTAAATCGACTTCGCCTACTCCTCTCTCATCAACATCATCAACAGCTGTCGCCTTATCTGCAGAAACAGGTATGACAACCTCGGTGAATCCAGTACCTCAGCCGACGAATTGCAGAAAACGGGTTCTTAGCACGAGCAGTGCACAATGTATTGCTGTTCTACATCCGATAACGCAAACCGAGGGACAGGGGCTGCCGAGTAGTATGCCAGACCTCCGAGTGCGATCAGAGGCTGTTAGCAGTCAGGCATCGCTGCCCAAGTCACTTCCAACGACTCCTATACTGTTGAAACCCTCACCGCCTACTTCAACATCTAAGATCGGAAGTAATAGTCTATGCAAACGCATTAGCGGCAGCAGCACCGCCATTGGTGGTGGAGGGGGCGTTTGTGGGGGCGGAATCGGCGAGGGCAGTACCCAGCTCTCCACATCTACATCTCCCTCCACTCAGCCGCCGCAGAAGCGCTCAAAAGTATCTCATCGTCAACTCACGGATGAAGAGGTTCGGTGGGCTTTTGACGGTCTGTCTGACCTGAACTACTTTGATGATCCAGAACTAATTCGCTTCATAAACTCTCTACCCTTATGAGTCCCTCCTCTACTTCCTGTCAAATCTACCGTGTGTCGTTACTTTCAGATGCATCCCTCCCTTCCTATGAACTTATGCATTTTCCCAAAATTTCGTCAGGAAACATTCTCTCCGTATCTTTTGTAACTAAACTTTCAGTACTTCGCTGTCAGGCGTAGCAGTATATTCCTTGTATATATTATGCATTCGTGTCCTTTTGGTCTGAGTGTAAATTACTGTTACTTTCTCCGGGGCTTTCTATTTACAGAGACTTCACTATAAACATGTAAAATATGCTTTTTTTCATGATTTTGTTTTTGCGGAACTCCATTGTCAGGGCACATAGTACACTGGTTTGTTCTTACTCTCGACGAGATGCCATAGCTGAATGCCTACGAATGTATGCATCCCTCTTTCGGTAGTGCGGAAGAGAGATTTGAGCGTATACAAATCAGTTATCTATGGGCGATGTTTAATTTGAAAGGTTGATGATGCTCATTGTTATTGTCGAAGGGTGGCTTCTTGTTTGTGCTTCATATCCACAATGCAAGTTTTAACGCGGGGTTGTTGTTCATACATGGGATCGTGAATGTTTATCACCCGGCAGGGAAATGCGTTCTCGATACACATCTTCTCGTTGGAGCTGTTCGTTATTTCATTGTCATGCACTGTTCGAAATTCAGCAGCGTTCTGTGGCATATTTGAATGGGCGAATGCTCTCACAAATGAAATTAGTGGGTGAAGTGCTTGTGCGAAGATGGCTTTATAGAGTTTTGTCTTGTTATTTCAGAGCGTTTCCTTTCCGGTGCTGTCTAGTCACTCACCTGTGTAGCAAAAGGCGTTTAGCTTTGGTAGAACTTTAACTTTTTTGACAAATTTAGCGAACATTTTTTTGTTAGGGGACAATTCCAACCTATTAACAGTGCTTTGTGCTTTTTGCTTATTATTGCGCAGAGCTTAAAGCCGCATGGTCCTAGGGCGGTTCTTCATTCGCCGGTCTTCAGGACTTACCTTATCAGCAGTCCTCCCTACCTTTGGATCCAGCAAAGTTGAGACGCTTCACTTCTCTGGAAGTGTCATTGCTTCAAAACTTGAGGGCCTCGCAGTATCATGGGCACTTAAAAGTTATGCCAAATCATGCAGACATAAGTGAAGGACGCGTAGCTCAAATGGATCAAGTTTCGTCAGTTGTTTTGGCGCTCATTCTGTCTTTCCCAAGGAGTCTACCAAGCGCATGACAGTTGAATTCATTTTAAAGGCCCGGGACATTCCCGAGAAAGACTGGTGTTAAAATGAGAGTTCGGTGCCTGCTTATCAAATTGTCTTCAACCGACAGACACCCGCATGGCGTCGTCCTCAGGGCTATATATCTGAGGTGGAGTCACGGAAGTTTTTACTAACTTGCAAACTATGAGCGGAAGAATGGAAGGTAAGGATTCCATTAATCCATTGGCGGAATCGAAAAGCCTTTACATTTAAGTAAATTTTGGTTTAAAGTTATAAAATGTGGAGTTTTACTGGAAAGTTAATTAGATAACAATGGGGTTTTGGTGAACATTTCACCTATTTATGTGCTGCTCTTAGTCTTCATTCGTCTCTTAGTCTCACTTCGAGGACACGAGCTAAAAGTAGCTTAAATCTTGTTCTATCCACGCTTTGTAGTTTGGGCATGACTGTTTTGAACTGGCAAAGAGCTGTCTATCGAGCGTTACCTTTTGAATTGACTTTCCTTAAATAAGCGAAGTTGTTGCCAGAATGGCATGGCTAGATCAAGCTTTCAGACCCCGGAAATGTGTTCATAACTTGCGATTTTCGTGATACATTAATAGAACTTAATCCTAGGTTATGCTTCTACCTTATAATTCTGTGAATGAAATTTGCTAAAAGAGTTGTCAATTTTGTTGACTGTGATGGGCATTGCATTCGCTAGTATAAAGTCACGCAAATTGGACCCAGAAGAGCCAATTCTCGTCTTCACTCTGCTCCCTAAAATAGTAGCACAACTACATTCCATTCACTAGGATGCCATGAACCTGGATGATCATGAACGGTGCCTCTATTTTGGCGGCAACAATTAGTTGCCGTAAACGAGTTTATGCATGAAAGTTATAAGTAGGCTTTAGTCTTTGCTATTTCCTACATTAAACCATTTCGTTTCTGGTTATCAGATAAATTTGTTTTAAAAGGTTTTGTTAAATTTATTGGAAGTTTCCAATCATTGCTTGTAGTAAGACCTGCGGCTTGAACTGTGACCTAAAATGAATTGACTTCTCAGAGGTACTAAAAGTACGGCATTCAGTTTAAACCCATCGCAGAACAACTAGTTCTAGTCTCCTCAGCGCCGCCATCAAAATGAAATACTGGTGAGCAATAAAGTTCACTTACTTGCAATTTTCAGCTTCCAAGGGCGGTCCAAAGTTCGAAGCTGAACCAACTCTGGCTTTCTGTCCAGTTTGCAATCAGAAAGTGCTTACACATGTCGAACTTGAGGCTGGAAAATTCGCACATCTCTGGGCAGTAATATTTTGCCTACTGGGGTAAGGCATGATACCTAATGCAAATGAATTTCACAACTCATCCTCAACGTTTTTGTTAATTTCATAGGATTTGGATGTAATAATAAAAGAGGAGGAAAAGAGAGCAGGATCATTAAACTACATATCGAGTTAAGTCCACTAGGAGCACTTACTGGCTCCTATCTACCAACGCCATATTTTTTCAAGACTATTTAAGGTTGTGACCTTGTAAAGTAGATATTGATGAATCATATAAATGATAGGCATGCAGAAGTAATGCCGTGCTTGCTTCGTATCCAGGAAAAAAGCAATAGATTGTTGGATAAGTGGTAGCAGTCGTTGCTTCCTACTAACTAGCAATGACGGTTTCAGAGGATGCTTCGGCTGCTGCTTCATACCCTTCTACCTGAGAGGCTTCAGTGACGTCACACACACCTGCCCAAGGTGTGGCACTACACTTGGAGCGAGAGCAAGAAGGTGAGGCCAATGTAGGACAGCCGATTTGGTTTTTAATCCATCTCTTCATCAAACAAAAACTTTTACGCTTGTGCATAACCAGTAATAAAGATATAGTGCGCTGTTGTCCAACACCTGGCCTGAACAACATCACACAGTGCGTGATCCTTCTTCCTGGCAAAATTTGTTTTCATGGTTGGAAGTGTCTAGGAAGGAGAGCTATCGAACAAAGGCACTATCTTCTTCGGAAAATGTGTTTACCACAACCATTGAAGACGTGGTAAGATGCCGTAATAACAGAGTGTCTGTCGGGCCAGGATGCTTTGATCTGTGTGTTAGCTAGTATTAACTGAAAAACGGGACTCAATCGTTGACTAACCAGGATGAAACCTCTGTGCGTACGAGATATGCCAGCCTGCAATGGTTAGGACTTGCTTGGCTGTTTCTCGTCAATGTTAATAAGATTTGGTAAAGTAAACGTTCGCATAGTTTGCAAAAATATACAAAAGCGTTTAATAACAGCATTCATACCAAGCGTTAAGTTTATCGCTAAAGACTCTCCAGATATCGAATTGTAGTGCTGATAAGTTAGGGAGCTGTGCAAATGGCGATGAGAGCAGAGTTTGCATGTCATGGGAATTAGGGTCATATACAAAGTATGCATGAAATAGGCACCCAAGACCCTCTCCATCAATTCAGCTATGCGATATAGTCCTTACCTTCTAACTGTGCAAATGTGTAAGCAAACACGGAAGACTAAAACTGCTGAGACAACCTGACATTTTTCCACGTCATGCCATTTCTACGGCACAATTGTACTACAATACCGGCTTCCATTGCCTTGATTCGCATGACTTCTATGGGCCCTTCTATGCTATCCAGATCTACTACCACGTCTGCAGGGGTTTGGTGTGGAGTTGAATGCAGGTTTAAGAGTGACTAGGCTTAACCTGCAATGACTGTGTGGTTGTCCACTTGCTCTAGTTTCCGTGGTAAGGTACTGAACTTATGCATTTTTACTTCAATTTTCTCAATGAGAAACGGTAGAATCTAGTGTGTAGCAAAATTTTGTTGTTTAATTGTGGTGAATTATAAGAAGTCGAGAAAGGGACTGAATGAATTTACTGAATAAAAGATGGAAAAATCTCCTACATCTTTGGGGACCGGAGATCCATTAAATTGCAGTTGCGTAATGGGTTAATTTGTTATCTGATGGTATACTTAACTATGAAAACACCTCGAGTCCTGTTTCTTACAATTCTATTTCTTGGAATATCCTCTCGGTCGCATGCATAGTCTGCTGAATCCTTTCCTTTACTAATATGGTCTGTTACCACTTTGGAGAAGAACTGGTAATGCTACACATATGGCCACGCAAAGCAAATTCAACGGCATCGAGCAAGTAGCCGCATTTCTTCAATCAATTGTTACACATTGAAGTTGTGAAAGGCGAAAGCTTGTTGCTTATAATTGAAGATTAGAGGACTTTCAATCGACTAGATGAAATCAGCTGGTTGATACCAAATTTTAACAACGAAACTTTATTCACTAATGACAACAGCGCCCCCTCCAGTCAGGATCGAATTCAAGACAAAGGTTATTACGTGGAGAACACAGAATTTCTGAGTCAACCTCTAATTTATTTTCATTAAGTTATTCTGCTCTTAGAGAGACATACTTATGAAGGAGGAATGGCGCCCAACTCTTCATTTAGCGATTTCTCATCCTCTAGCGCAATCCACAAATGAGTCAAATACCAGGAAATATTACGCTTACCCGACAGCAGTGCTAAAGTTGCAATCAATTTTCCACCCATCTTTATAAAAAACTAAATAACCCTCATTCCCAGTGTGCGAGTAAGCCCCAAAGCACCGACTACCATGTGGTGATCTATGATAAAGGCTGATTGGGAAAAATCTTGGGCTGTGTTGATAATCACAACGTCCACAGCCTGCAAGTCCGCTTGACGGCATAACTCTAGCCATGGTCACCGTCTTCTATCCGTTTACTGAATATACAGATTTCAGTATTAACCTGCAATTTCGGAGGTCTGTAAAATCTCATCATGCTATTTGGGTTAGAATCATTCATACGCATTCAATTATTTTGTTCAATTGGAATTAAACCAGAGGAACACTAAAACGACTGCAAGACAACGTGTCATATCACGCAATTTTACAGTCTTAAGATTTAGGTGAAAGACAAGGAGTGTGGGCGAAAGGAGGAGTCCGACTTCTTGTTCACTTGTATAGCACTTTGCTTATTCGACGGCCGCCTGACCTTCAGGCCTTTCAATATAAAAACAAATATTCAGCTAAATCCTGTACATCCTGTCATTGAAAGGGAAGTCTTACGACGCCAAAAACTGATGCTCGGTTTCGATAACGGTAAACTAATGGACCACAATGAAATCACAGGGTAGCCTGGGTTTAGATCCATGGCAATATTCCTAACTACTTCTCATCTCGAACCCATGTCGTGCCAAACTATTGTATTTTATTTTATATCAAGGAAAAATCAGAGCTTTCCAAAGAGCCAACACGCTCAGGTTAAATCGGAAATAGGCATTATCGAGGGTGCGAGAGGCTGTCAAAGCAAAATTTAAAAAATCACATGAGAACGCTGAAGCTGGTATGGTGATTCTTTAAGTCTAATCAAAAGATCGAGGTTGTGCCTTGTGGTCAACAGCCATTCTCAAGACTCACCGCCGTTAAAAGGTGAGAAAGGGGAGAGGAGTATGCCGACGCTGTCACCAATGCGGGGACAACTCTAGGTGTTGAACCCTTCCTCTGGGGTTCTCCCGAGGAAGAACTTCTCTCAAAGGCTATAATGGGAAATGGTAAGTGTTATTAGGCCAGGTAGGGAGGGCAGTAAATGAGAATGAGCACATAATCGTGGCCCCGCACGTTGCCCTCACACTCAACACGAATAGCCTCCAATTTGAATTCTCGCCTCTAACCTACAGGGAACCCACAATCGCTCATTTCCAATTTTTTGACTTTACATCATGTAATTACAAAATTTCGAACTGATTGTCTAATTCCCGAAAGCCAATATTTGCAAGATGTTTTCATCATGTATTCCGAGAAGCACCAATAATCTGCAATAAAGTATAGACGTACTTGCAAAATAAGCCGCATATTATATAAGGATTTCTTATATGAAAGCAATTATAACATAATATTTCGTTCAAGTGTACGCGTCGTGTTTATCATCACACAATACCACTAACAGGGTTGCGCGGTGCAGTCAATTGCAATGAGTTCTAAGGTGTGTTGCTGGCGTGTGTGATTTTTTGTAGGAGGATATACAAATTACAGCTATCGATCAAGGAAGAATTAATAGCTTCGCCAAGTGGAACGTAAAGCTTAAGGAATATGAAGCAGAAGTCGAAAACAGAAAGGCATTTTTCCGCATTTGTTAATGTTCTTCTAGAAAGCACTTCAAAACTTAGCCGATCTTGAAGATGAACTTCTAGTATCAGAATCGGAAGCTCATCCGTATCCTTTTATCTTGCCATGCTGATCGCATTGATGAGGCTATACTCAGTTTGACTGGTTTGTTTGGCTTTGCCTATTCAAGCACATCCTCTTTGATTTATTTCGTTTGTAAAACTTATTCTTGCCAAAAACTATCTAGTAAACATCAGTTCATAAACATGAAAGCATTCTGGATGCATTAAGTACTCCAATGATGTGTAAGGCTACAATTGCTGCTTCGAACTTAGAGCAGTTAGCTTAAACCTGTCGTCCTACAACGTCTAAAGCTCAACACCTAAACATTCGTTTCTGAGTGATAAACGGTTCAGCCACGGTACTGATTTTTTTTTCATTTGCACTTTCATTTGTACTTTGCGCTTTTTTCGACACGGACGGTTTAGTGATACATTCAATCTTCTTCCTATGATCATAGATTCACCTTAACTCCATAATGCGTTCGGGTTTCATTAGCTTTAAAATAGGTGAGTCCTTCTTTCACCTATCAACCGAGGAGGCAAACGACAAAGTTGGTGAACAGAAGGCCCAGCTGAAGGAGCGGCTTGTTACTCTCGAGTCGGAACTGAGTGACTGTAAAGCCACCATGGCAACCTTAAAAAAGGAACTGTACGCGAAATTTGGTGACAACATAAATCTAGAGGACTGTTAACATATCTGAATACATTTCCTTTAACGGCCCTGGTTACCTCCTCATCTTTAATGCCTCTGCTCACTGCTGAACGATGAGTGGCTTGTCACTAGGTTCGGAAGGAGTCCCTGTGTGCGTCTTTTTGCTAAACCACTAATGACCACTCACATATGACAGCTCTTAGCTTTTTCCTATTTTAATCACGGTGAATCAAGCTAGGTAACTTTTAGCCTGTGTACATTTCCAATTCCACCCGGTGATTTAACTAAAAGGACTTTCTGAATCATATGCACCTGTATTTATGAATTCGCATCCAGTAAAAAAAGTATGAACAAATAGGCGTAGTTGGGGGAGAAGGGTTATTGCTTTGTGGAGCCAGACATTGAGCAGCGTTGCTTGGTGTCTACGTGTGTACGTGTAGGTGTGTGTGTCTGTGCACGTGGTTCTTCATGCGTAATCGGTTGAATCTGTGCGGGCAAGTGAGAGGAAAGATTATGATCACTTCTTGCTAGTTGCTGCCGCCTTTCCTCCGTCAAAAATGGCTGCGCCGCCAGCGGAAGAGGTGGCCGAAGCGGAGGACGTGTACTCCAGCTCCGTGTCACCCGAGGCTGGCGACACTGTCGTTTCCGGACTGCCGGCTTCGTTGGCAGTACGGTTTCTATCCCCACTCTGTTTATTCGATCGAGATGAACCCGCGGTTCTAGCTTCTATAACTGTGTCCCTTTCTGCGGCGGAGGAGGGGGACGAAGTGACGAGTGGTGGAGAGGGAGTGATGCTAAGGTCGTGACCACCCTCCTCGGGCACTGCCGACAGCAGTCCTCCGTCAGTTGTATTGACTATATTCCGCGCAATTAACAGAGGTACTACTTTTGACGGTTCAAATCCTCTCATGGGTAGTTGAGCCTGTTGCGGTTGGCCTGGTGGTGGGTCCGTAGGCTGCGTTGGTGGTGGTGTAGGCGGCTTGGTAGTATTCAGTGTGGTCATTGGGGATGAACTAGAAGGCACGTTTTTTCCAGATAAGGTGGAATTTTGTATCCGCCCTTTGGATGCTGGCAACTTCCCGCCTTTGGCACGCTTCCTCTTGGGTTTTGTGCGCTTCTTCCAACTTTCCCCAGCTCCATCGACGGAGCGTTCGAGCACACGTTTGTGAGCCATTTCGGCAGCCAAGTAGCGGTACTTTGCAGTCTCAAGATTTACCAGCGTCTGGCGTCTTTGCATTCCATCTACCTCTGGAGGAGGAACTCCGTCGGTAATCTGACGCTGGCTGCTGCTTGACGGTTGGAGTGTGGATGGCCTTGACGAATGCATTTGTTGGTGGTGGACGGAAGTGAGGTGGTGTTGGTCACTGGGCAGAAAGACGGATGTAGTTTGAGTGGAGTGATCGTTGCGGATGGCAGAAGTCGCATTGCTGGCAGGACTGATGCGTGACAGAAAATAGTTGGGTCCCTCGTAGCTCTCCGACTCGGCGAGACGGCAACGCGAAGGGAAGGCGCCCGATGTTGCTTTGATGGACGATTTAGGGCCAGGCACACTAACGCGCTTGAGGTTGGGCACAGAGAGCTTCTTTTGTGTGCAGTGGATAGAGGAGAGTTTGTGCAATGGTGGAGTGGCATGGAGCTGTGGAGGGAACAGCTCGACGTCGTGCATGCTCGTGGTAGAAGTGGAGATGGCGCCAGAGTGGAAGAAGCTGGCGCGCCGTGGCATCATGTACTCTATCTGCTGGAAAGACTGCGTGGAGAACTTACGGTGGAGCATTTCGCTCAGTTGACGGTTGGACATGCGCGCTGAGGCGAGGTTTTCACGAGCGTGGAAGTGGTCTCCCTCCTCGCACAGCGCTAGATTCGTATGGCTTAGAAGGTTTGAGAGGTAGATAGGATTCTGACGCCACAGCGCCTCAAATCGACGTGTCTAGGGCAGCAACGAAAGCATAAGAAAAGGGGTTTTTGAGTCGTTCAAATGATTGAGATACATACGAAAAGAAAAGATGGGAGGAATGCTTTTAAAAGTAGAGATAGGAGACAAACCTCATCCTCATAAAGCATAGTGAAGGACTGAGAGAGACAGACAGTGCAGTGATAGCGATAGAAGAGAAAGACGGGCATGGTGATAGCAATGAGGACCCAGCCGTAGGCAATCTCGTCTCGAACGGTAATATTATAGAGAACGTCTGCCTCCTTCAGCTGGAACGACTTTACTACCCAGCCTGCGAGGTTGATGCCTAACAGCACTGCAATCATTTGTCGGCTCGGCTTGATGCGTTGCTGGAAGTCTTCCTCGCTACATCGACGGAAGCAGTCCTGGATAAGATAGGTCTGGAGAATCACCTCCACTAGCTCCAACATGTTCAACGCCAGTCTGCCCATCAGGAGGTCCTTATACACTAACTAAACAGTCAAAAATAGATAATTATGCCGAGTCATTCACACGCAAATGTACGCAAAACACTCGAGGAACTGAGAACAACTCCAATTCATTGCTAAGAAGAAAAGCTAAAGGACTGAAAATTTGCGCCTAATTAAACCTCATTCACTTCAAGGAGTGTTAAAAAAGCATTTCCTGTAGAACTCAGCTTGATCGTGAACTATTCTTTGACTTGTTATTTTGCATGAAGGGATTCAGAGAGTTCATTGTTTCCTTTGAAAATAGTAAGCTTACCCCACCACAAAAAATTGTAATAGTGCCTAAAGCATTGCTTTGTAGCTAACTGCACTTCATTTAACTGGGTCGCTTATGACAGATGCGGAAATGAACTACAAGGAGAGCATAGGCTATCAAAATTAAATGGTCACGTATGTGGTGCAACTGAAGGGAATCCCACCCACAGATTTCAACAAACAATACGATGGTTAAGATTGAAACTTAAAGTTCAAACAACCAAAGATGACATCCAAATTCGGACAGGAACCAAATATTTGCGTGACTGAACTCGTAGTATGGTGTGGGTGCTGTATTTCTGATAACCTCAAAGAATGCGGTTGCAATCGTACGGTTTGCAAACTTATTGTCAAAAAATAATGCATGAAGAAGTGGGTTTCAACACTAGAATTACCAAGACGCATACCTTAAAAATAAGAACACGGATTTGCGTAAAAGGTCAAGCATTGTAAAGACAGCGAAAAGGATAACTGCGAATGAAAGGAACTGGCTGCTGAAAGGGCAGTAAGTAGGGGAAAAACGTGACGCACATCTGTGGTGACGCGGTTAAAATAGCTGGCGAGGGCGACAGTGGCAACGAGGTAATTGGCAGAGAAGAAGAAAGCAATGTAGAGGACGAACTCGTCAATAACACTCTGACGTGAGGCAATGGTGAACTTGAGATGACGAATCTTAAAGAAGGACGCAAAGGTGACGAATATGCCCATGCAGTTGAGGAACATCTCCTCGGCGAAGAGAACAGCACACTTCCAGGGTGTGATATGAGAGGTCTTGGGTGCCACACCTGTGACCACTGTCAGTGCAGAGATGGTCAAAACGATGAGCAACGGTGCCCAATAGCCTGACTTGATATTCGTACCACAGTTTGCAATTCCTGCCTTCACCTTCACGAACGCAAAAATGCAAGAGTCAAGTAAGGAGCAATTAATAGGTAAATGAAAAATGTTTTGCAATCAACTTTTTAATTTTGTGGTAGAAAAGCATTACATTCATTCTTTTAGATATTCAATTTTGAACAGGTGACAATCATGACTTGATAGTAGGTAAATTCCCGATAGATAGGTTAGCCTTTCTTACACCTACGGGACCAAAGGTGATTGAGATAATGGAACAAATAATAAGCCGTAAAGTTCAACTTCATTTAGCTTAAAACTACATAGGTGGGATCAATTTCGGTTTCAATGTCATCAAGTCCAAATCTATCTCTACACTTCATCGTAATAGCACTTATAGAAAGTACACTCCCATAGTTTTTCTTCAAAGATTCCGGCTAGGATTGACAGCTTACTTTTTTTTAATTTGCCAGCATATACTTTAATTTATATAACGCAATTAAAGTACCAAATGATTCAGCAAAAAATTTTTTGTTGCCAAAACGTTCGAGAAAAAAATGCATTGTAACTCAATTTTATGGTCACTAGCGTATTGGCAAACCCCAACGCAGGTTCCAGGTTGGCTTTTACCAAATCAACTTTAAATTATGCTCCAAAGAGAAACAAAAAAAAGTTAACGAAAAACGATGCTGGACATAAAGTTGTACGAAAAAGAACAGTACGAAGGAAGGATCCAACTGTGTGTTTCAGCAAACACTTTCGACAACGTTTTCACCGGAACAGACTATGAATTTGAATGAAACCATATCCAAACTCGCCCACCTTGCAAATCACAGTAACCATAATCCTAGACCAATCAGCCTTCTAGGTCAAAAATAGGAACACTCATGTCTAATTAAGTGAAATTCCCTTCAGATTGTACGATTTTGTAAAAATTGTGATGTCGAATTAGTGAGGTGGAAGCGGAAGCAAAAAATGATTCAGAGGGAAGATATGCATGAACTGCAAACAATTTATCATTTTGGGCTCAAATACCTCCGGGAAAGATGCAGTTTTTAAACCATATGGGTCCAAATAGCATGCACCGAAACCCTCTTTCATTTGACACTTTCATTTCAAAATGGGACAAATAGTGTTCAAAATCCAAAATTACGACTAACCAAGCAAATGACGAAACAATGTTTGTTTTAAGAAACCATAGCTTTGTAGCAATGTGCCCAAAAACCTACCTTCTTGACAGTCCTGGCGATTTTACGTGAAAACGAGCGGCCACAGATGCGCTTCTGATCTTTGACGCCCTGGGAGGATAGCTCGAGATCGGAGATGCTTCCGGACTTACTGTTTGCCACACTTGCCTCCTGTTCACCCTCCCTTTCGTCTTTCGAACTACCTTGCCCTCGGTTATGCATTCGGTTAGTCACCTCTTCTTCCTCCTCCTCCTCCTCCTCATCCTCCCTCTCAACATCTTCATCTTCATCCTCCTCTAGTTCTATGTAGCTGGGCTGCCCAATGCGCACAGTAATTTCGTAGATGAGAGCGACGGAGAGAAGACAATACTCGGAGACCGCAGGCAGAAGATAGAACGAGACCGAAGAGCCCGATGAGTGACCCTGCTTGTGGTCAAGGTGCAGCGTTGTGCTCACCTTGTCCACCATAACGTCAGCCCACATGCAGAGGTTCGTGCTCAATACGTGAATGAAACACGCTCCAAATATCTCGTTGTTGTGCAGTATTACTATCTGTCAAACCAAAGACCTCGCTTAATTTTACTTCAGACTAGAAAACGCATATCCACGTCTACTTGCGAAATAGGCAAACAGTGCTGCCACTTCTAAAGATATGTTTGGTGATAGGTTAAAGTTTAACCAAAATATGGCATCCGAACTTGAATTCTAAAGTCTGACCTCCACCTGTAGTTTGAAAAATGGCACCCTTAATTTACTTTCAAATGACCAGCAAACTCGAGTTTACACACCGACTATCATAATCGAGAGCAAGTCGGCGATTGTCCTATTTCAAAGAGTTAATCCAGGGTGGAAAAAAACACTATGAAATGTCATTGGTTCCAGTGCTTAAGGAAACAAAGTTCCTCGAGAGAACCATAAATAAACGAGAGTGAATCGCTATCTAGATAATTCTATTGACACTTGAAATGTAAACTCAAAAACCGAACCTGATACAGAGAAAGAAAAGAAGATAATCGGTAAAAAGCTCCTCAACGATGCAAATTTTGAGCTTTTGCACTAAAACAGTATGCCATATGTATCATGTAAATCATCCGCCATACAGATGCACATCGTTCTACTTTTAAGTTCCCTGGCAACTTAGAATCTTTCCATAGTCATGGGTTTTAGTGAAAGCTCAGTCTTCAGCACTGTTAGCTCTCTCCAACGATTGTCGGAATGCATCCAGCCCTTTGAGTGCGTGTAAACTGCGTTATGCTCTTAGTGCGTAGGTAGTTTACTAAATGCCGACACGACGATGTTATTATCGCAGTGGAATTTGTTTTCAATTTAACTCGTAACTCAGGAGGAGGAACTGGGCGCATCTTGTTCCCACTTAATAAAAGACATATCGCAGTAATCTTTTCCATCTCGTCTCTGATTAATATCTGTTTTGTAAATTAACTTCCTAAACAGCCCTTAACCTGGAAAAAAACACTGAAAGCCACGTACTTCATTTGAAGGATGCAAAGACAATATAAAGTGGGTGTAGCTAATTACAAAGGAGAATTTGAGCGACCTAAGTTAATTGAGCCAAGCGTAAAATTACTAACCAAAAGAAAGTTTTCGGATATGTTACGCAACATTAAGTTCCCAACATAAGCATATGGCAAAACATGGAATAAAAGTCAAATTGCTCGAAATCCAGCGCCAGAGTGGACAACATAAAAAATACTGACTCAGGCCACCCTTTTCCAAAATCGTAAAATACGTACTTGCTCATGATTCCAAGCGTGGCAGACCAACCAAATAAATTGCTCTACTTCATTAGCTGACAATCAGGCAATTCAAATTTCAGGTTAGTTCTGAGCTTGAGTTGCGATACAGAAAAGCCTTACTTTGTTTTGATATTTGTATCAAGCTTAGAGATACGTAGACCTTTGAGGAATTTCACTAATATGGTACATTTAACCAGCCTCAAATGATTGTTTATTTGCAAATATGAGACTTATCGCTAACTAATCCTACCTAAGGATTGTTTACGGTTGAAGCTACTTAGACAATTCACGCAAAAAAGGACTTAATGCATCATTTAAGAGGACGCGAACCAAGAGTTTTGAAGTTCCAGGGTTTGTGTTCAGTTGGAAATAATCTGAACATAAAATTCAATGTGATGAACCTGGGACGAAGGGAGGTCACATTATGTCAATAAGTAGCATCCAATGAAAGTAGACGCATTTATTGCACATCGGTCACACAGTAGTGGGAAACTGTAAAAAGATCAGCATTAGAGCGTCAGCAAGCCTCCATCAGTAATAAACTCAGCGCAAATATGTACACGACTTGACTTTGGGCAGCACATACAGTCAGGGTAGCGACGAAGTCAGCCGGGCTTATCAGGAATTCTCGGCAAGGTAGGAAATACCACACCCTCAAGCCGCGCGAAAGGGAGGTCAACGCCGGTCAGTTTAGCAGTTGCGAACATTTATGGACTTCTTATGGCTGCTTTTCGACAATGCAAATAGCAGTCAGAATGCGATAGTGATGTGTGCTATTAGAAACAGTCACGAAAAAATACATCATCTGCAAATCTGAAGAAACCAATGTTTACTTTGGGAACCAGTTTATTGATGACAGGCTTCAACCTGTTCATTTGCTCAGTCTAATGTTCCATTAAGTAGGCATTTATTGGAGAGAATGAGCAAATATGACTGTTTAAAAGAAAACAGAACCAACCATTGGCTTTAGATTATTCGTTGGCATCGTTCCAATCAAAGGCAATCTTGGGGAATGAATATCTTAGGAAATGCTTTTAACACATGCTCAGTTTGGCAATGCGCAACCGTCTAACTTATCACCATTCTATGGCTAAAACCTTAAATCCAGCTCCTCAAACGTGATGAGGGTTAATTTTGGAACCTGAAGTAGACACACTTGTAACGTAACTGCGAAAGGAAAAAAATGAGTACTGGGTGTGAACTAATAAATTATTAATGCCAGACGCAAACTGGTACTTTTCTACTCATCTGCACCGAATAAATCCACGCAAAAAGAAAATCAGGGGTTAAACAACCTGTTAGCACTAGGAATTGTAACAATAAAAGAAGCAAAGTTAGCATGGGAATGTAGTCAATGTAATCAGTTGTGTTTGCAGTAGAAAGATTTCACTTGGCAAATAATGATCCATTGGATTGCGGAAACCTTTAATTCGGCATCTTAGGTGATGAGAATAAGATGCAGAGTTGAAGTCATAGTCGAATGAGATTTCTCTGTGGTGAAGGTAAAAATGGACAACGAGGTAATCAAAAAGGTAATTTGATAAGAGCAGCCAACAGTTAAACGCGAACCAAAGCTAAGCCCACAAGCGTTTCCGTCACCGTAATTGCAAATGCACTCCAATGTAAAAAGGCCAATAAAACTCAGACGATTTGATTGGAAAAAAGTCAAGATTGAGACTTCGATCATTCAACCTCTGCAAGGGACCTGTGTTGTCGGGGTGTAGGCGCAGGATGAGGAGTACACTAAACTGGCATTGTCATCATTTCGAGCTACCGCAATTACTGTAGTTAGTTACCAATTCACCTTTAGACACAGGCACAAAAGGAGAAAAAAGACCTACCCGGTGATAGATGAGGATGAACAGAGTCTGAGCTGTGAAGAAACTAATTTCGAAGGTGGATTTGAAGACCTCGGGCCAATGCATGGGCGGTTCCATTTGCATCTCGTGCAGACGAATTGCACTTTGTCCGATGCTCATCGCTGCAAAGACTGCAGTGGATGGATAGAGAAGCAAGAGGTTATAGGCACTTTTAACATTTAAACACTCTCCAGTCATAAAGATAATTGCATGCATATGATAGAATAAGAATGCGTTTGGGTTATTTCAGTAAATAAGATCAAACTTTTGAGGTCGATATCCCTTGTTAAAGGAAGCCTAAAATGAAAGCAATAGTAACAAGGACCAAATTATCACTTAGGTGGGCCCTTGATGAAATGCGCTATTAGATCTCTAAAAAAAACCAGCTAATTTGTGTATTCAAAATGCCATTAGGTGAACAATAGAATTATGAAAAAAGTACACGACCAAGGAGGTGGAACAGAATGGACCTACAGAAGACGGAAGTAGGCGTACTACCATGCCGCTATGCTTAAATTGATAGTCAGGAAATTCGGGGACATGTGGAGATGCTTCCACGTTGACTAAGGTGAGTGTAAGGGGGGGAAATATCAAAAATACATATTTTAGAAATTCCCTTAACATGCGCGAAAATAGTTTCATATGCAGTAACAATCCCAGCTCAAGTTACTAAAGTGAGCCAATAAGTCTATAACATCTTCAACCTATTGTAAGTCAAGCCAAAGGAATTTGCAAGAAAAAGAGTCGCTAGGCATAACGAAGAATAAAACACGATTTTGCCCATCAAACCCAAATTAACCTGCTTATACAAACTAGGGGGTGGTTGAATTTGGTAGCTGTGTCCGTCTACTATTCACAGGTTATGAGGCCTCGGGAATGTGGCAGCTTTAGACTCTGCGAACCAAAACTACTGATCGCAAAGGTTTATACCTCTAGAATATTCTGCATTTCAGATTGGCACCAAACTCTCAAACTCAAAAACATATTGCCATTAACGTGAATTTCGGAGAGGAGTTCATGGTAAAAATTGCTTTTAAAATTAAGGCCCGATGAAAGCGGCTCTTCTTCGCTAACAACTCCCATTGCAAAAGATCTTTAAAGGTTGATGGTACTGCATAATTTAGAAAAAAATACTCTTTTAAGATAAAACGCAATTTTAACAATAAGGAGTATAGTGGTCATTGGTCAGGCCTATTTACAGACGAAGGGAAAGGCAGTTTACGGCAGTTAACAAATTTCTCTCAACAAGAGACAAAATTTGTGATGCCAGTAAATTAATTAGGCATAGTTTCAGAGAAAGGGATATTACTTTTTACACGGTTTAGCAGAATTTTCCCTTTGGATTTTTAGTTAACAAGTGTTCAAGATACTGAGAGTTTCCACAGGCCGTCAACTTTTGCCCATGAACATGGCAATGTGGAAGAGAAACATGTCTTTGAACTTATCATTACTACATGCACATTTGAACGGACGCGAGCATTCCATTCCATCGCCTTATCCCGTTGAACGACGGATAACCATAAGAAAGGCTGAGTTTTCAACGACCCCTTAGTCACCCTATTTTGAGCAAATTATGACCGTAGATGATAATACTTAGTCTCAATGACCAATGTTATTTGTCGGGATTTAACTGCCTTCCTCGCCAAATATTTCTCCGGTAGAGCGTCGATTCGCGGCTATCGGAACACAAATTGCAACAGCATCTACCAATTTAGAGTGAACTTTACCTAAAGGACGTAAAAAACAAAGAGAGTTTGCAGGCCAAATTTGTCACACGACTAGAATCTTGAGGCCGAACGAACTTTCTTTGCAGAAATCCACTAAACGATGATAATTAAGTGCATTTATGTCAACGCTGATGCTGTGGTGATGCAGTAAGCGATTTAAAGGACAAACTAATAAACCTCAAAACAAGGCATGGAATAGGCATTTGGAATGACTTCTTTTGAACAACGGTGCTGGTGCTAGAAACAAAGATAGCAACAATGATAACCACTGATTAGTTCTTTTTATTTAGCTGACTGTTACATTCAAATTTTGGTGCTTCGCAAAACCGATTTCTGATAACTTAGAGGTAGAATCACCAACAGAACGCTTTATTTTCTTTTTCTTTGTTGAACATAGGTTTGAGGTCGCATGCCCGTTTAGTACCCAAGTCGCACGCAGATGATTGATGGAAACTCAGCGATTTGTGGAAGTCCCATTAATTTTGCGATATTTATGCACTCCACATTGTTAACAAAAATAGATAACACCAAGGAACATTTTAGCTGATGTTATAGGTCTGGAAAAAGCCAAAAAGTACACCGAAATACAGCATTTATAGGAGCTAAATCTTTGAGAAGGTGTCCATCTGACTCCCGTCAGGAATGCTTAACTGCAGCAAATATCACGAAAAAAGCAGAAAACGTCCACCTAAATAATCGGGTTGAAGTGGTGCATGTTTGCTTGAGGAACAATAAACAAGTATATTTATAATAAGTGAATGGATCGTAGTGGCTTGTTCTATCGGGTTGGTAGCTAAAGGGAGGGTAAACAAACGGGGTCAAGCCGCCACTGCAAAAGCCCTGCAGCTTTTCGCTAAGTCTATTAGCGTTGAAGCTGACTGCGCATTTCTTCATTTATTTGGAATATAGAATTAGTACTGTTACCCTTTAGCACTTGTGGTGACAAGAAAAGCAGAGGGGGCTGCTATTAAATAAAATACCGGATATTTAAAGTAGTACCTATGCGGAGGTAATTCAAGATTATGATTGCCTACTCTTGTTAACAATAGAAAACACAAAACTTGTCCTTTTCCTGCCTCCTACTCACCTCCATTCTGAAAATACTTATCTAACTCAGTTCAACCTTTCTTTTTCTCATCATATTCCCACAAAGATACTTTGCAATCCATCCCTAATTCCTGTGAAGGTGTGACCAATTAAGCCACCTTATAAAGCTCAACAGCGAATACTCGTCTATGCCGCCGGCCGATAGCAATCTGGAAAGCAATGATGGCCTGACAGAAGTTGCCAGACGAGGGGATAGTTTTCTTCAGACCAAAACTTCCGTAAGTCGTGTCCAACATCTCACATGCATATGGGCATCCTTAGGTGGATGGGAGTAGACGTACGTGCGAGACCCAGACGAAGATAGAGATTAACGGGTTCACCGCAACGCGAGTACTTGACTATGAAGGAGACAGGTCCGGTGATACGCTGAGCAGCCTCGAAGGTCTCACTGCGCTTTGCTGCAAAGTAGATTGTGGCGCCGAACATAACGCAGGCGCTGGTTGCGTACAATGCTCCCAAAAGCATGTCGTGCACCACCGCAGTGAGGCTATCCTGTTCATGTAAAACCACACTATTAAAACCACATCCCATCCGAACGTATTCATTGCCACTAATGTTTGGCAGCTGCTCAAAACACAGGTTGCACTCCATGCTAAAATGGTGAATTAATTTTCTATCCATTATCCAGTGCGATCGCCTAGCCGAACAAGAAATAAACGAAGGTCCTGCTTCCACTCCTAGCTGACATTATTTTTCAGTTATTGCGGACTATGGGTACGTGAAGCTGAATTTAATGCCTCCGACCAGCAGTCTATCGCACAGGGAGGTATCGTGTCTTAGATGTACAACTAATGTCCTTAATGCCTGCCTGTGGATCGAGGATAGTTTTTAGGGCTTCTTCAATTACTTTGGAAACATAACCACTAGAATCACTAAAATCGAGTGACCATAATGGAATCGCAGATGAGTACAGGCGTTACACCTCATTTCAAAACGTTTAACAAAAGAAACTCTGAATCCTACCTTAAGATTAATCTCTTCTTTAAGTCATATCTCGAAGCATTGTGACAATGATAATAGAATACAATTCGAGCTACTAAACGCTGCTGTTACGATTAAAAAGGATTTTGTCACAAACTCAAACTATCAGTTAGTAATGAAAAGAGTAGAATGTATGAACGGTAAAATAACCAAGGCTAGTAACTCTTAGCATAGAAATATAAATTGTAATTATAGCAATGAATCACGATGGAAGTTCACCAAACAATGACAAATTTGCTCTTTTTTTGCAGCAAACTAGACTGTCTAAATGCATTCAGTATACTTTTGAATACTAAAATTCCAGCTAGCCAAGATGAGCGGGTTTCGATATTTACGAAAGGATAACCGCCGGTACAAGTGACGCTCGCAGAAGGTAAGTTAAAGGTCAAGTATGTATTCGTTTCAACGCAATAAGTACTAAGCAAATATTTACAACTCAACGCCTTCGTGGTTAAAGTTCGAGCACTCGCAAGTACCCAATGCTGTACAATGCCGACACATCTGGTTTGAATGCTACCATATTCTAAAATGGTTAAACAAAATTAAACAATGCAAAACATCTTTTAGAGACTTGCGAAATTCCTGCGGCTTAAAGACATCCTCAAAGGAAATTAGCACTGTTAACTTAAAGACATGGTAATAAGGTTATAATTCAGAAAGTGAGACAACATGATTGGGCTGTAGCAACTGGATTTGGTTAAAGGTGAAGATAGTCATGCTTTAAGAAAGAGACGAATAGAACTTCGAGAAAATAACGATTTAAGGCCGACATGGACAGAAAAAAAAACACAAGGACGATGGCTATTTCGGCATGGGTAGCCGTTAAGGTGCTAGCCAAGTGAGTAGAAAATCGGCCAACCTTGTATTGGTCGGTCGATTACTAGCACCGCCTCAAACCTGGGAGTAAAAATGAAGCTCGAAATTGAGATGAAATAAGCCAGTTACAATCAACTTATTTTGTTTGACACGAGTACAGGCAGAACATAGAGAGCTGTGGGATTAACGATTTTATCCCAAATTTGGTAGCTTTTCGGGAATTGAATCAGAACTAGTAGTGCACGGAAAACTATAAATGTTTCCAACTAACTGCACTTGACGTCATTGCGTGTACTTAAAGTGTCTGGCATTCTGGCAGGGGGTTTTGGTGTATCGTATGTGAACATCAAAATTAGAGGGGAAAATCGTAAAATCCTAACGTAAATGGACGGAACAAGCAGTTCCACTATCTCGAAGTCAGCTTCACAGGAATGCAGCGGGAAGTCAAGGACAACTGTGCACCCAATTTACATGCTGACCATCTTGGAAATCAGGTTAAATCACTGGATGACTAAAATCTAATGTCAAAACCGAGAAGCTTTCAGCTGCTAGACCCTTTAAAGCAGGTTAGAACCCGACCTCTTAACAATATTTCGAAACTTAACTTGTATGACAAAATTAGTAGGTGTCATTAACATTTGACAAGCTGCCTATTTGAGTCCACGCAATTATTCAGTAAGCAATGTTGATTTGAAGTTGGAAGAACAAAACCGAAGCCTCCCTTGTGAGCTCAAAATCGCTAATATTCCAGCTGTCACAATCCTTTTGATAAATGATGATCGAAATCGGTTAGAGAAGTAAGGTTAGAGCGATGGATTGATTTAAGCAAACCGGACAAGTGGCAATTGAAGTTGAAGCGCAAAACATTTTGGCAGAATGATATTGAAGTTGAGAAGCCCGAATAGTAAGGGTCTGCTACGCAAGTACTTTAACTATGCATAGAAGTGAGTGTAGTGGAAGTCACCGTCAAGATGGACATTTACAGACTCTGCTTAAGAAGGGGTGCGTAAAACGTCCCTGCCATCTCGGGCCGCAGCTAGACGGGCTTTATCAGCGACACTTTTCCTTTACCAAGCCACCGGCGTGCGCCATAGATTGCTTTAACTCTGCCCTCCACATTCAGATCATTTTCGCAATGGCTAAGCAGGCACCTTTTATAGGACAGAAGGGAGTACAGTGTTACGCAAGTTCAGATAAATACATATTTTAATTAATTTCGTTTCTAATGCTCCAGCCTGCGTGAAGCATGATTTTCTCTGTACATGAGCCATGTACGTCTGTTACGAAACTCCACTAATCCATCAATTTACTAATACCCAATGCCAGCAGAACTTAGCATAGTATGACAATGCTAGCAGTTTTGTTATCAACAAAGTAAAAAAGCAAAATACTTCCCTACACCTCTCAACCTCGACGCCTGCCATTGTTACCGTTAGTTTACATGCTTAATAATACAAGATGACAGGGAGAAAATAAAAAAGAGGACAATGATATGGAAAAAAATCAACAGAATGGGCCCGGTAATGCAAAACGAAATTTGTGGATAATCACACAGCTAATAGTTAGCTGAGGAGCTTCAACAATACCATTCATAGTCTTTCGGTTGGAGTACTCCCATGAGAGGATGAGTGGCGTTGATGTTGCTAAAAATATTTTGCTTGGAACTACCTACTACTTGGTTAGAAGGCACAGGAACCGTGTCGGGACTGAATACAGCATTGTTTTGCCATAGGAAAGAGACCTCTGCTCTACTAAAGCATACAAAAACAGTGCATGTATGTTGCCACTAGACAAAGATGCTCACCCATAACGAGTGTCACAAGAGAATTTGAGGACAAAGCACTGCTTAATGTCACTTCAATCATACATACACCTCAAGCATCGAACATGATTACCAGGGTAGGCAGTCAAACAAAAGCCACCTTGCCCACTGACAGTTGACCAATAATTCTAGCCCTTTCTTTCCAACCAAATACATGAGTAGAACTTGGAAAATTTGAAAGTTCTGCGTCCGTTGCTAGGATCCTGATATGGTAATAGGACATGGATCTAGGTCAACCCAGTGTCCCAAACATGGGGACCCTAGAAATGTAGTTTTTGATGGTTAGAAAGTTGAACAAAAAGCTCAAAAATTAAACATCCTACTCTGTGAATCAGAAAGGTGCATACCTTCTTTTCATCCATCGCCTGCACAGCAACTGCAATGCTGGCCGAGGCCATGAGCGAGAGGTATAGAACGCAAAACGACTTCCGGTCATTTGTCCTAGTGGCAAAAATATAAAAAAAAGGAACGATGATTTCACGACGCCAAGCCACAAATGTGCAACTTCGTGTTTTGGAATGCACCATGAACACGGCGATAGCACCACTTTATTTTAACACTTAAAAGTTATAAATTGAAATTATCACCTTTGCAACATAAGGCGCTGAGATGCTCTCCTCCAAATGCCTTTTGCAAATTTCCAATCCGAAAAATCATGACCGCCAGGTAAGCCAAACACCACATTCAATCCAAATCTGGTCTATTCTCTGGATAAAATGGCCAGTTAGCTATGTCCTAGTGACGGCAATTACCAAGGCTTTTGCTTATTTGTAAGTTAATCTTCAGTTTCAAATTCAGAACGTCCGACCAAGTTGGAATAGACTGCAACTTAAAACGCAAAAGGTTATCGCAGAACTTCAACTTTTTAGCCGAAAATGGTCTTTTGAAAAGGTGCGGCTTCGATACCATTGAAACCAGAGCGAGTAGTACCACTGAAGAGAAGCAACAAAGGGATGAACAACGTATTGTCAAGTACTTGGAGTGGTTTGGTAGTTGCTTATCCAACCAACGGCTTCAGCCTCCGCGATCTATGATTTCATTCGACTGCACAGATGGATGGCCACGGCCATAGCCCTAGGCTAATCTCCACTTGAATAATGTATCCTCGACCATATTGCTTTGACTTATTACGACTCAAAAGATTAGAAGTACTAAAGAATCACGTAAAGTGTTTTATTGCGCGTAATTGCGACACATTGAAGGTTACTAATAGTGGCCTATTGTCTCACACTGAGGAAGTTCAGTGAGTAAATCTCGACTCACTGGAGGAAGCACAATCCTAAACAAGCTAGCTTTTTCATTAAAAAATGCCCTTACAGAACTCCAATGCATAATTGCTTTAGATATTTCAGGTTGAAATAAATACTTTCAGTCACCATTATTCCAACCAGAAACCTGAAATTTGTTCCCTTCAATTTACGATCGATTGAAACATTAGAAGATCCAAATTCAAGTTTAATAATGCATTAGGAGAAAAAATGACAAACCCCAGCATTTTTCGACCAGATAGCTGACAACAGAGTTGACAAAAGTGAATAACTCTCTGCTCCTTGCCTAGTTGCGAATGGTTTGTTGCACGAGTCTGCTCAATTGACTGCAAAACTCGTGGAAAAAAACATTACCATTCAGAAATCTGGAGAAGGCAATTGTTAGTTCTAGACCTCCGTCAAACGATTGTTACTCTTGCGTACTCTACGAGGTAAACCAAAGTAAATTATGGAAAATCATACAAAACAATTACACCAAGCGCTCGGATAAAGCCCTTACGGGATGGAAACCGGTGACAACTTATTTGTGAAGTGCTCATGTATCAAGTAGACGACAAAAGCAGTCCAGAGCCGTTCTTTTGGAATGTCATAGAACCTGCGATATAGCAATCCTTTAACTGACACAAGTGCTTTTGAAATTTTTCGATAGAAATATCAGAGCAAAATGATGCTCCTCGCATCCCGAATAAGACAGTAGGAAGAGACATCATATGGAAGCACCTAACTTTGATCAATCGTAACATTTTCTACTACAATAGTGAAGTCATTCCACAATGAAAACCCATTCACAAATCCCAACTGAAATTAAGTGAACCAAGTGCGTACGGGATTTCGGTCTAATTGAATGTGCCTTCCACAAAACTCTCGACCTTTGTACCTTCTTAAATACTTTTTGAGGGCAGAAGTGTTTCTTAGACTTTGCACTAAGTTGGAGGAGTCACAGATCAACTAGCTAAAGAACCTCGGAGGTACTCTCAGACAGTAGCCATTGCAAACTCTAACGAAGACGTCCAGATGGCACCTCCAGGTGACGTTGCAAAGCCTACCAATGTAGAAGAGAGAATCGGTAGAGTAAAAGATCTCTTTGTCAACAAACAAATGGCTAACTAATGGTGATCGTATCAGTGAAATTGACATCAGAGATTGATAACTTCTGCGAAGATTTCGTTACCGTGCAGAAAACGTTCATTCGGAAGGAATGAAGAGATCATTCAAGCATGTTCAATGCAAAAAAGTATTTTAGAAACTTGGCTCCGTACATTGGAGATACCACGCCAAGTTGGTGGACAACCATAAAATTATTTCTAGTAGAAAAGTGGTATTATTGTTTCGGCAAAGACAACAGGCGAAGTTAGTCATGACCTTGCAGATTAATGAACGTGATTTTCTGGACAAAGCAAACAAGGTCGCCGACGCGTTTCGTCTTGCCAACGGTAGTTTTCTTTCCCGTAGTAAAAGGGTTAAACAGTGCATAAAATCGTTGACATTTGGCATTGGAATGCAGCAACCTGCCGCCTCCAACTGTTACTCCAGCCCTAAAGGTTATGTGTACAGTCCTGAAACAATTGTCCACACATTAGTAGTAGTCACACTTACACATCACGAGTCACTGTATTTCACCGCTAACCTTTATCCAAATGCAAAACCCACCTCTCTGAGTGACACTACAAAGTTACACATTTCTAGTAAAATGTAAACTCAAAACAATTAGAACGTCTAAAAAATCTAATTGAAACATTTATCACCCAATTAAGCATTAAAACCACACAAGTGAAGAGAAGAATCAACGGAAAATAGTAGAGTGAAATCTGTGAACCACCATCAGACTATATACTAATTCCAAAGCCTTATCGGAGGAAGTGTGGCGCAAACACAGGTGCAATGTAGAAAAGACACACACTAAGCGTACCGAGGGCTTCTGATCTTTCGCTCGTACTCATCTCTGAAAAGAGGAAGAGCTGAGGTTAGCACATGTTCAAAGTGGAGACCTCCCGAGTACCCACTCAAAACTTTCCGTCAAACCCAAAAGTAGTTTGCAAAGGAAAAGTACTTTGCCAAATAAGGTTATGGTTATGTTGGAAGAGTGCTTTCAAATTGCCAATAATGATGACTGGAAGACGTGCATAAGTGTATTTACTTATTGCGTCTCAAATCCCTCCCTCCAGAGGATTAGATTTTGGCGGTAATTAGCAAATCCGCCTCTCAAAATGGTGTGTATAGATAATCTGAAGGAGATAGAGGTGAATTCGATGAGTGTAAAGGTGAGTTTAAGCTGTATGCGCTCTTGACTACGGAGTGGAAACGATTGGTGGATAATTGTACTGACAATCTATTTTCCGGGAAACGATGATAAGCGTGAAGGCAAATAGTCGTGTCTGATCGAATGGGTTCCCATTCAGTATAAAAGCCCAAATTCTTGAATCATATAAGGGCTTAATGAAACACAATTTTGGATGGATCAAGTAGGATTGGCAAGGTTTCAAGAGGCTTCAGTCTGACAACCTCTTAATTCTTTGTCATTCCCATATATTCTCCGATATCTGTAAGGCATCAGTTTACAATTGATGTACGCACCGGATGAAAATAGGTAGAGCAAAGAATTAAGCATGAACATTGATGCTTAGAAGTTTCGGAACTCACGACAGCTTGACAAAGCAAGGAAACTCACTCAGATCTCCGGTGATTTTGTAAGTGGTGCCTTTAGACGGAGTCGAATATCATATTACGATTGACGAATTATATCACTCATTTGTAAATTAAAAATCGAACTCAGTGCAAACTTATTAAATTCACAGAAATCGTGCTGCATCGGTTAAAAGTTCTAGTAGGGGAGGGAAGCTACTCATTGTAGCGAATCATTGAGATCATAAATTCATAGGCGTTCCATAATTTACTACATTAACCAGTGGACCATCGAGCTTCAGGAGTACGTGTTTATGTCAGCTGTGAAACTGGTATGAAAGGTGTGTTGCCTTTTTACGAATTGGGAAGTTTTATGATTAGAGAACCCTCTCAACCCACCTCAGGCCTCATTATATGAAAGCACTTCTAGGACCTGACTTTCTGTACAAGGCGAACAACGATAGCTTTCCTAGATCACTCGTTTGGAGGGACGGACGCTCAAATCAGCAGACAAGGCATAAATGCAACAGGTTCAAAAGATACGCGCAGGGAAAAAAATGTCAGTGTCGCTTTTGTAAGGCGGCTAGAGATCCAGAAAAAGTGGTGTTAAAACCAGTCCGATGCGTAATTCGATTGTAAACCTCGATGAAAGCATTTTGTGAAATCTCATACGCATATCCGCTACTAGAAATTTGAGCGGAAAACAGCAAAACAGTGGTACGACCCTAGGCGGGTAATTCAAACGTGCAAAAAAAAAACATTTTTGTACGTGTTCAGAGGCAATTTTTTGTGTAATTAAGGTAATGGAAACGAATGGTTTTCACGCGGAAAAAATAAAGAAAAACTTAAAAACGATGAGCAAGTGACGTGCATGAATTAGGGATATAGCTACGACCCAGAGGTAGGATGGCATTTTTAATAGGGCAACGTGAGTCCAACACCCACATCTGAAGCCATGATATTCGAACGGCCGATCTAGATTGGCGGCGAATCGATAACGCGTTGTTTTGGCTGGTGTGCATCGGATCATCGATTTTATCCAGGGGCGACAACATCTTGCCTTAATGGGTCAACAACCCGTCAAAGTAAGCGTTAGTGCGCAGAAAATTTGCTTGGTTTACAATGGTTCGAGAAGTTAACCTTCGTTGTTGACATAAAACGCAAACAAGTGGTGTACTGAAGTACAGACTTGCTACCTTGTGATGACCCTACCCTTACATATATCCTAGACTGGTTTTAAAAAATCATTTTAAAAGATATCTGCTGTCATAGCAATATTGAAATTACCATTGAAGGAACATCACCTGGAATTTTGAGGGTCACTCAATAAACCACTTGCAAGAAACGAGAACTTATAAACTTTAAAATGTGGGCGGTTAGCTACAGAACAGAAGTTCAGAGTCGGGAAGCAAACAACTATACCAAGTTGGTGAGTGCGACAGGCATGGTTTTCCAAAAAAGGCTGCAGAACCTATACTGCTATGCTCTTAATTCCCACATCACTAAGG